ACATACCGTCTAATTTAAATTCACTTCATTACATAACTTTATTTTGAAATTCAAGCTCCCTAAAAAATTTGGTGGGAATATTTTTAAAGAATATTACTATACTACTTAAATAAATTATTCATTTAGTTCACACGTTACCATATGACTTTAGTTGTATGAACTTTTATTCAAAAATAAATCATGTTCTGTATTATTGTAGAAAATTGTTTAGTGGCTGTCTAAAGTAGATATGAAACAAAAGTACTATTATGTTCATTAGGATGGTTTATGAAAGGTTATTTTTTATATAACTTAAAGGATTATTCAAGAATATCCTCTGTTCATATTATTACTTTACTAAATCTGAGTCCATTGAATCAACCTAATTTATTTTTAATAGTTGAGATCGTTAATCAATTGAAGCTAGACTACCATGGAAAACATGGAAGCACTGGACTGCTATCTTCGTCCAATTGTGGGGGACTCCTTAGCAGTGCGCATAGACAATCACGCCTCGTGAGATTCGAACCTAGGATCTATCGATCTTGCGTGGGAACGCTTAACCTCTAGTTTTCTAGACGAAATGGTCGTGCAATACTTCCAGGCTTCCCATGGTAGTATGGCTTCAATTGACTCATGTTCTGAACTATTAAAACCCCTATAATATCAACAGAATACCCGTTAAGTTACTAATTCATTTTTGTTAACAATATTCATCTACTTACAAGTAGTATACATTTTGAGACGTTTTTAAATTCAGTGTCGTAGCTACTATTTAATAAAACTGAAAATAAGTCGAAAATTTCTTATCTCTATTTTCTGAAAGTATAAAACTTTTCTTCACTTAATTTATACAGTTACTAGAAGTTAAATTTGGAATTTCTAAAAATTATACATCATTTATACTTTTTTTTACCTTTCTCACATACGCCTGTTACTCGTAATGGAGCATAGGTCGCCGACCAGAATTCTCCAACCCACTCTGTCCTGGGCCTTCTATCCAATTCTTGTTCATTTTTTTCATGTTTGCTTACATTTCTCAGTATAATGTGTTCGTTGGTATTCCTCTTCTCCTTTGGCATAGAGGTTTCCGAGTGACGGCTTGCCTTGTGACGAAGTTGGGTGATTTCCTCAATGTGTGTCCTATCCACTTCCAGCACTTTTTGCTAATTTCTTTCTCTGCTTGAATCTGGTTTGTTCTCTCCCATAGTAGGTTGTTGCTGATAGTGTTCGGTCAACGGATCCGAAGTATTTTGCGTAGACAACTGTTGATAAACACTTGTATCTTCTGAATGATGGCTTTCGTCGTTCTCCAAGATTCCGCCTCATACAGTAGAACTGTGTTGACATTTGTATTGAAAATTGTGACTTTGGTGTTGGTTGACAGACAGTTGTTCTGAGTTCCAGATATTCTTCAATTGTAGATATGCTGCGTTTTCTTTGCCTTATATATTTCCTAGTCTATGTTTTTATAATCATCCGTAAAATATAACTTCAAAATAAGACTAGTAGAATTCAAACTTTTGTCTAATAAGTTGTCATCTTATATTTCGTTCATTACACCTAAGTTTAATCATTCATATTCCTGTTCTTTTCTCAAACCATGATGAGTTTCAAAGATTATGGTTAACTGTCACTTATACTAGTGATTTTTTTAACACCATACAGTATACATGCTTTGAGTGTGGGTTATACACAGTCTCATTATCAAATCTTAACCATTCTCTTATGTAGTAATCCTTGATATATACACATGTATACATCTGAAGTTTTTGAAGGTATCATCATGAGTTACAATGCTAAATTTAGATTTTAAGAAAGTAGAAATCTTAATTTTAGATATGTTAGTGGTCCGACATCTGACTCCAGGTATCTCATATGATGATTGCTATTAAAATTTACATCCCGGCTACCCGTGTATATAACCATGGACTTAAATCTCATCACTAAATAACAAGAATAAATAAGTCAAAGAAGAGAATGGATTTCAAATACGTATATTTCATACAATCGTTGATCAGGACTGGCGATCAGGGGAACGAAGCGAAACGAAATGACACGCAGTGGATAAGATGAATGAGCCAACTCCATTAGATAAAGCGTCACTCAGTATTTAAATTCAAAAAAAATTGCAGACACATGATGAATAGTGTAAGTAATTAACACAAATACAAACATATAAAAACAGGGTCAATAAGCAAATAATTGACTAGGTCAAAATGTATTTATTTGTTTGTTTATTTGAACAAATAAACATCGGCACAAGGGGGGCACCAAATACATATGCGTCAAACAATAACAATGAGGCCAGCAGCAGTTATCATTGATTTGTGTGAGAGCTGTGATGCTCTCTAGGTATCCAAACTGAAGTAGGTAGTTTTCTTAGGCGGCCACATTCCTAGCCTTTGACCTAGAGGTCCAATCAACAAAGCAATGGAGCAACCTTAGGAGATGTAGTCGCATGGTAGCCGGTGACCACAACAGGTTCATACGCCTTTTATTCCCTCAGAATCCTGGAGCCCATGTGCACCATTAGTTTGGAATCACGGTTTTCATTTTCACACCAATCATTCTCTGTTCTTATTCTCTTCCCTTCGATCTTCTTAACCTTCTGTCACAAGGTATTTCACCTTCGATTAATGATACATACTACTTATATCTATATGTAACAGTATCACACACCACAATAACAGTCATATGTTCATTTGTTAGATGTTGATGTTACAAATTCAATAGTATGCATATGAAAATCAATAGTGAAATCAACGAACGATGCAGTGCATAGAGTGACTACTACTGAAAAGTATTCAGAGATAAATGGATAAAGCGTTACAAGCATGTATTGAACTAAACGATTATATAATATCTATTATGAGAATTGATAAATCTTTCTATTAAGTTACATATGAATGAATGTAGAAATGTACCAATTGTGTAAGAAAAAACAAAACTAGAGAAAAAAAATAACTGAAAGGAAGGGGAGAGATAATTGATGATTTATAACCTGTTCTAAGGTTTCTTAATTGTTGGCTAAATTAAGGAAAGTGCTTATTACCCGTTTCTAATGTATTAAAGTAGATACCAACTACTTTGGTCATATGTTAATGATACATACATAAACTATAAGGTAAATTAATCGGAATACAATAAATCGCCTCCAAATGCCCTGGTATGACCGAGAGTGGGGAGAGTCCGCTCTCCCTCTCGAAGTGCTCCCACACGGCCACCCGTATATAGCCTCGGCCAGGGAAGTCCTACTCACTGCCTTCTCGCAACACGGGTGTTCTTTACGAAAATGAGAGGACGAAAAGCGAATGTCTGGCGCTTTAACCGGATTCCAAACCAATGGCGCACATGGGCTCCAGTATCCTAAGGGAACAAATGGCGTATAAACCAATTGTTGGTCACCAGCTTCCATGGGACTGCATCTCCTTACCATGCTCCACTGCCTTGTGGATCAGACCTTTAGGTCAAAGTCTCGGGGAGTGGCCCGTTAAGAAAACCACCTGCTTCGGTTTGGGCACCTGGGCAGTATCACAGCCCTCAGACATATCGAATGAGATTAGTGTGGCACATTTGTATTTGGTGTCTCCTTGTACCAATATCTATGTGTTTAAATAAAATAAATAAATAAATACAATAAATCACTTAAATTATTTTCTTTACATTTATTTGATAGCTTGGATATATTCAATAAACAGGCATAGAGCTTTTAAATAACCATCATTTTTAGTCTCTTAACTAAATAAGATAGATAATTGAAAACTTCAATGATGTAAATGCTTCATGATTGATCATAGTGCAAACAAATAATACAACTAGGACACTTCATTTCTTAAATAGAGTAAGAAGGAAGATTGGTGCAGAATAATAAATGGATTCATTTTATTTCGTCAAGTTCTCATCAACTGCTTACAACCTAAAATATTTGAAAATCAACTTTATTACAGATATTGACATACTGATACATAAGAGGATGATTAATGGGAGAATACATGTGTATCATGATGTAGCGAAGATTCCTATAGAGTTAATGAGGTCATAGAAATTGTTTGTTTCGAATAAATAAAGTTTGAGAGGGAAAGTTCTGGAACATTGAAATAGTGACTAGAACTCATGAAAATAGATTGATGGTAATAAAGAAAATATGAATTGAAATCAATCAGTTATGTATGATGTAATTTAAACTTCAGAAAGAGTTGGAATAATGAATGACTTAATAAGTAAATAGATAAAAGGGGGGTTAATGTTACCAGGGCAAAGAAAGGTTTATTACTGTCTCTTTTAGTATCCATAGATCTGATTTTAGACGTTTGATTGCTATTGCTTCGTTAAATTTCAAAAGGTTTGAATTTGATTGTTTGTGAATCACCTTGATGGACTTCAATGTATCGACTTCGTGTCCTATGTCAAGGAGATGTCTTGCGATGGGATTGCTGAATGTTTTTAATCTGTTTCATCTTAAACTCTTTGGAATATGTTCTTTGAATCGGACGTAGGCTTTCCTTTCTATTCTACCAATGTAACTGCTTTGGCAGATACATGTACCATTAGTCTATTTTCAGCTACTTCATTACATAATCATCTAATGTGTTTTTTTTAATTCCATGAGTTCTAATCACTATTTCAGTGTTCCAGAACTTTCCCTCTCAAACTTTATTTATTCGAAATAAACAATATTTATGACCTCATTAACTCTATCGGAATCTTCGCTACATCATGATACACAAGTATTCATCCCTAATCACCCTCTTATGTATAAGTGTGTCATTCTTTGTTCTTACTCTATTTAAGATAATAAAGGGAACTATGTGTATGAAACTTAATTTCGTATTCCTTCTTTCATCTGTTTTTTTCTTCTTTTTTTCATTTTTGTCATCATTATAATCTTAGGTAAATGTGATATATTTGGTAGTGATATGGATGATTTGCCTATATTGGGATATTCAGCTTATAATGTTAAATCATTAACATATTGTGAATTACAATGTATAGCATTAGATCATCAATTACAAGAAATATTTGATCAATATCCACAATTTCGAAAACAATTTGCTTTAGCCATTTCAGAAGAATTATCATTTAATTTAAGAGCTGGATTCGATCCAACTGTGAGTTCTTTATTCATTAATTAATAAAAAAACGTATCATTCAGTGTCATTGGTAATAACTGTCCTATTTAATAATTGAATTCATGAGTCGATTGAAGCTAGGCCACCAAGGAACACCTGGCAGCATTGCTCGGCCGTTTCGTCCTACTGTGGGACTCATCACCGGTACGTATCCACGATCCTTCCTAGCGAGATTCGAGCCGAGGACCATTGGGCCGACCGGCATCCAGTGGTGTTAATGTCCGAATTCAACCAGGACTGAGGGGTCATTGGGTTCTAATTTTGCAAGGCAGGATCGTGGATGCACAATACTGAGGAGTCCCATATTAGGATGAAACGGCTATTTAGGTCTTTCAGGTTTTCCATGGTAGTCTAGTTTCAACTTACTCGTGAATTACTATCCTATTCTTGATATGACTGTATTCTATCATTACTTATGACTACTTAATGGAGTTTTTGTAATGTTTCTTAAAGTATGGTTAAGATTTCGTTCAGTGGATTGTGAAAATGCGATCAGTGTGAATAGAAAATTTTCATAACAGTTTTGAAATGTCGTGGAATTATTGAAATTGCCGAAATGTAGTATATGGAATATGCATTGGACTTATGCTATAATTGTACATAGTGAAGTAATTCCAACAATATATTTACCATTAATTTTGTTTATTTTCCAAGTTTTATGTTTACCAAGTTTTCGTGAACATTCATAAATAGAACAATAATCTTATTCATCAGCATAGGGGTTGTGGAGATTATTAAGTTTTTGATTGAGATCATGAACTGATTGATGTTAGACCACCGTTGGAAACCTGGAAGCACTGGATGGTCAACTCGTTCTATTGTTGGACTCCTCAGAAGTGCGCATGCACGATCCCACTCGCGGGGTTCGCACCCAGGGCCTTCGGTCTCGCGCGCGAACGCTTAAATTACTGGACCACTGAATCAGAATCTAATGGTGTTAGTATCTAACATCAACCAATCCATGAAATTGCGCCACCATCTTCCATTGTACTGAGCTAGATACCTGTCTCTACCCGACACGTATTAGCTCCACTGGTCACGGGTTTTCACTAGGACTTTGAGAATTCCTTCACGAAGCTAGTCACCAGTAAGTACATGTTAATTATCAGTATAGGGGTTATTTTATTCAATTGATATTAGGAGTTCTGTGAGAAAGGAAATGATCTATAAGGACAATAAAACTACATATACAAACTGAATATATTGACCATTAAATCAATGAACATTACTATAATTAATATATAATCGTCATTACTACTGAATCTTCTAAATGTAACTGTGAGTAACCTGTGAAGTTTATCCATTCAAGAAAATTGAAAATCTTAAATTAAACTATTGTTTACTTCTAATTTCAAACTACTTTTAATTCCTAAAATACCATGCAGGATCAATACATACATAAATTGGTGGTAGGTTCCTACTTGTCTCCATTTAACATCGGCATTTTCGCTTTTTTCGGGGGGGGGGGGGGGGTTTCTTTCCTAACTTTTTTTATAATCATTGATCTGCAAATAACCTGATAACACCCATTTCAAAAACCAAATACCACTAGTCAACTGGAGCTATCATATACAACACACAATTAATCAGTATCCATATGACATAATTAGCCTTTGAGCTGTCTAAATGTTTACATCATTTAGATCTGAACAGTTTACTTGAATATATAGGAAAAGTCATGAACTACTTGATCAATTCACAAACTGATTAAGAGTTGTGTTTCCTTCATTCGAAACATCGTTAGTAACATTATAATTTTGAAATGATCATGTAAAGCGTCTACTCAGGTTCTGAAATAATAAAAATGCTTTCAATAAACGTTATAGAGCTCAGATGGGCTCCAGGGTGGAGTTATGTTGAATTTTAGTTTTGTCTTAAACAATTCTATATTTTCTATGGAATATAATCTTATCATCTTACTACACTCTACCTTTGTGTTATTTTCTGAAGATTTAGAAATATTTATCCTGGAATTTTACACTCAGTTGTCTGTCTGTCTTTTCAACATACACAACGTCATAGTCGGTATATATGATATTATAGACATGATTTTATAGCTACTTCTTTAGTGGATTTTTGGAAACATTATTGCTGGTATCGTTATGATGGATGGTAACATTACGACTTACCCGTTCTTAACAAGAGAATATATATTTTTTTGAGTACACACTAGAACTCACAAGTGTTTCGATCGATATTATATTCCCAGATTTCTATCAGTTACAATAACATGACCTTACTTCTATATGTAATAACACTGGTACAACAGAAAGCTGGGGATGCTAGATCCCCAGAAATCACTTAGTAAACGTCTTATTTATGTAAGTTTATTTTGAACAATTGAATTTCTCATTTTCGCGTCAAAAGCACTCTTATTTACCTTACCCACTTGGAAGGACACCTTAAATTTCATTGGTTTGTTCCCTTCTTTAATACACTATTTCATGACGTTTACCAAGGACACTTTTATACTGTTTATGCACGCATAAATTTTATGCTTGTTCGTTCGAACTTCTGACCGCTTGTGGAATATACATCTAATCTTCTCCTTCTAGTTAACAAGGATGAGGTGTAGTTATTATTTTTATTATTATTATTTTAACAAATAAGTATTAGTACAAGGAGGCACCAAATACATATGCACCACACAGATATGTGTGAGGGGTGTGATACTGCCCGGGTGCTTAAACCGAAGCACGTGGTTTTCTTAGGAGGCCACACCTCGAACCTTTGACCTTAAGGTCTGATCCACAAGGCAGTGGAGCATTGCGAGGAGATGGAGTTCCATGGTAGCAGGTGACCAACGATTGGTTCATACGCCATTTGTTCCCGCAGGATACTGGAGCCAGCCCATGTTCACCATTGGTTTGGAATCCGGTTAAAGCACCGAACATTCGCTTTTCGTCCTCTCATTTTCGTAAAGAACACCCGTGTTGCGAGAAGGCAGTGAGTAGGACTTCCCTGGCAGAGGCTATATACGGGTGGCCGTGTGAGAGCACTTCGAGAGGGAGAGCGGACTCTCCCCACTCTCGGCCATACCAGGGCATTTGGGGGTATGAGGTGTAGTAGAATAGCTTAGCTTTTCCTGTTGTTACGTTGCTGATTTTCATTTCTTTCACCAGTTTCAAGTGATATCTTATACACTCTAAACGTTGAAACTGAAATAATACCTGTTATCTAATAGATATCGCTTCATAATAATGTCAGGCTGTGAAATATACCAAGAAGAATATAAATCTATTTCAATACATTTTTGATTGAAATCATGAACCAATTGATGTTAGACCACCGTTGGAAACCTGGAATCACTGGACGGCCAACTCGTCTTGTTGTCGGACTCCTCAACAGTGCGCATCCACGATCCCGCTAGCGGGATTGGTTGATATTAGACAGTAACACCACTGGGTGCCGGTCGGCTCAGTGGTCCAGTAGGTTGGGCGTTCGCGCGCAAGAATGAACGCCCTGGGTTCGAGTCTCGCGAGCTAGGTCGTGGATGTGCACTGTTGAGGTGTCCCATTATAGGACGAAATGGCCGTCTAGTTCTTCCATGTTTTTCTTGATAGTCTAGCTTCAATCGGTTCATGTTCTCAGTCAAAAACCTAATAATCTCCACAACCCCTATACTGATAATCAACACATTTTGTTTACCATGGAATATCATATATATCAATATATTTAAACACAATATAGTTGAATAATACTCAATTCATTGTATATAAATAAGAAAAATAAAACAGACAAAACTCACTTATTTATAGTCCTTACCTAACATCATTTGTAATTTAATTCTTGTTTTGTTTATTTTAGTCGTCTTTAGAGCTGATTCCCGCAATCACTGTCACTACTGATAAGAATACAGGTTTTGAAGATCATTCCGATGATGATGATATTAGTAATAAATCTCATGAAATAATCAATGATGAATGCATTTTACTAACTAATTCACAGAATAAAACATCATTGAACAAGAAAGACGACGATGAAGATGATGATGATGATAATGATGACGATGATGATGATGATGATGATGATGATAGAACTATGACCCATGAAACAGGTAAACAATTCATAAATATAAAAACAAGAAATTTAAAAAACTCTCTAAACGATCATCGTCTTGACAACCAATTCAATGAGAAACAAATAAAACTATTTGAAAATTTAAATTCTTCGCAAAAAATTAAAAAAAAATTTATTCATATCAAACAAAATTCATTAGATTTATATACAAAACATTTTGAAAAATTAAATAAATTGAATCATACTTTATCTATTGAACAATTGAATCAATTGAATAAAACAAACAATATTAATACTACTATTCATACTACTCATAACACTAATAATAGTAGTAATAATTATAATTGGGATAATAATGAATCTAAGACGAAGTTTTACTTTCATTATCCAATTATGAATTCATTTCATTCATTTGAAAATCTTATGGACAAATCTAAAATGAATATTACAACATTATACTTAAATTATAAATGTAAATCATTCGATGATATTTATCATATTGGTAAATCATTTAGAACTTATATTCGAAATGAATCTATGTAAGTTATTTGATTTGAATGAATTGAGATCATAATTGATAAATGAATCAATTATGTTACAAGTATGTTATAACTTGTGGGCCTGTATGCCTTGTATGTTGGATAACGCCACGATACCGCTAATTAGAGAACAGTGAATTATCGATCGGATCAATGATGCATAAAACACGTACGAGCGGTCTACAGTCCTTATCAGTGCTGCTTACCGCCTAACCATGCCTGTTAAGTCCAGAACATCATTCGAAGTCTCTGCAATATGAATCATTTATTTCAAACACACTCAGTTTATATGTCAACCAGACAGACCACACCGTACGAATAAAATAGAAAATAACATTTGTACAATCTTTAGCCAAATGTGGCTGTGAATGAGGGAGGTAGTAATTAACAGACTAGGCATAATTCAAGAATGGTAAATCGTATAATAATAATTCATAGGTCAAAATAAAACTCATAATAAGAGGGACATGAATATACAATTATACGATAAAAATATACGTATAATATTGGTCCATAAATGGATCCCAAAAACTATCATACATTATTCTTATTGGGATATAACAACAAGATAACAGGTTTCGGATGTTTGGATGCGAAATTCATTCATTCATTCATTTAGTTAAATAGAGTTTTGGCATTCATAGCTGATGTTAGTTTGTGATGAAACCTCTAAATCTTATTTCTAACCTTAATCATCAACTATAAATCATAACTCGAATTCCTAATACAGGTTTATAACCCTCATTTGTTTGTAGTTATCATGTGGATACTCTGAAGGTCAATTGAATGTCACTTAAAGATCGTCCATAAATGATAGTCTCACCGAAATTTTCTTTGCAAATATCTTTTGTTTTTCCAGATTTGAAATGTTGATGTTATTTAGTGCTAGATGAAGGAATTTCACTGTTTCATATAAGACAATTTTTTAAAATACAGAATATGATTGAACATTTAGAATATAAGTCATAAGTAGTCTGTTGGATTAATCCCTAAACTGAGTTCATAAAACAAAGATTACATTATTTTAAGCAAAGATGGATAGTTGGTAGTAGTGGAATACAGGATGCGCGTTTCGTCCTATTTGGGACTCGTTAGCTGAATGTACCTGAATCTTATAATTGATGTTTAAACTTCACCCCATTGCACAAGCAAGTAGCTATCAGGAGTCAGTAGTTAAGTGGATAATACGATGGTGTTTCAAGCGAACGGTGCTGGGTTTGACTCCCAGAGTGAACATCAATTCTGAGTTGCAGGTACATCCATTCTTCACGACCAAATCATCCAGCTCAGAGAACAACTCCATCAAAATCTTGTTAGTCACTATCCATCTTTGCTTAAAACGCTTGTGACTTAAGGCTATATCCAGGCAATCCGCACAGGATGCATATACGCCAAGAAGAGACTGATCAACCGCAGTCCTAAATAACGATGGGAAGATACATGTAAAACAACACCAAGTGAATTTCTGATTATGGTGAGAAATAAACAGGATTTAAGTTATTATTAAGTCGTGGATGTGCATTGTTGAGGAGTCCCACAACAGAACGAAACGGCCATCCAGTGCTTTCAGATTTTCCACGGTTGTCTAGCTTCATTTGACTCATGAATTCAATTAATAAATTGATAAACAATAAAGTAATCATGAAATATACTAAATGTTATTGATAATAGAGCTGACAAATTCAATACTTAAATAGGTCCTAAAACAAAGAATCATTTCCTTATTTTACTGAAAAATGGAGATGATATAAATATTTTTTTGCCCAGATCTGACTCCAAGTAGATAGTATAATTGATTGTTATTGAAATATACATATTGTCTATTCTCGTATATCTTTATCGACTTAACTCACGTTGGTGTATAACGCAGTTAAATAAGTCAAATACAAGAATATATATATATATATATATATATATATATATTTTGATAGCAATCATTCGTATTTTGTTGAAGTTTTGTTCTCTGGGCTGGATGGTTTGGTCGGGGAGCTTTCATCTTTCTTCTGAACGACATCATCAGAACAAACTTCAGGTAGAAGAGAAGTGTTTAAATTTCTTCACATCGGGTTCCCCGCTTGCCCTGTACACCTTGATGTTGATTGGTTCTTGTTGACCTTAAACCTATCATTGTTTACTTGACAGGTTTAAGGTCAAGTTACTTAAATGCGTACTTACGTCTTAACTCCTCGTCTAGGAGAATAGGCCTTTCACCAGCATTCTACGTTCAGCCCTCTCCTGGGTATTCCTTTCCAGTCGTTTCTAGTTGATATTCCTCATTTTCACGTCTGCTTCCAATTCCCGACGTAATCTGTTCTTTGGCCTTCCTCTTTTCCACTTCCCTTCAGGATTTAATGTTAGAGCTCACCTCGTGATGCAGTTTGATGATTTCCACAATGTATTTCCTAATCATTTCTAATATCTTTTCCTAATTTCCTCTTCAGCTGAAAGTTGGTTTGTTCTCTTTCATCGTAGATTGTTACTAATGATATCCGATCAACGTACATTCAGTATCTTACGTAGACAACTATTTATAAATGTCTATATCTTTTTGATGAGTAATTATATCATAACCCTAGCTTATATGTTATATCAAACTTGTAATTCATTAAAAACTTAATCATTACATAACTACACTTCACTTCTACCTAACGTTTGTACTGATGATGTCGTTCAGAAGATTAATGAAAGCACTGCAATCAAATCATTCAACTCAAAGAATAAAACTCTATTAAAATGATGCACCTGAACTATAAATCTTCTCCACCATCTCATGATCCAAATAAAGTCAAATCTTGGACCACTAAAAATACAATTCCATTTCCAGAACATTATCAATCATTTCTAATCAATTGTGAGTATTTATTTATTTATTTTAACACATAGATATTGGTACAAGGAGGCAACAAATAAATATGTGCCACGCTAATCTCATTTGATTTGTGTGAGGGCTGTGATACTGCTCGGGTACCCAAACTGAAGCAGGTGGTTTTCTAAGGAGGCCATTCCCCGAGACCTCGACCTGAAGGTCTTACCCACAAGGCAGTGGAGCATCGTAAGGAGATGCCGTCCTATGGGAGCCGGTGAACAACGATTGGGTAATTTACCATTTGTTCCTTCAGGATACTGGAGCCATCCCATGTTCACCATTGGTTTGGAATCCGTTTAAAGCGCTAGACATTCACTTTTCGTCCTCTCAATTTCGTAAACAACATCCCTGTCACGAAAGGCAGTGAATAGGACTTTCCTGTCAGAGGCTATATACGCGTGTCTATGTGAGAGCATTTCGAGAAGGAGAGTGGACTCTCGGCCGTACCAGGGCATTTGGGGGCAAAGTGTGGCAACTGATTGTTGCAATTTTGAGTACATTTATTTTTACACCAATAATAATAATAATAAGTTTAAATAAATATTTCACTTTCATTGTATTACTTTTAATTATTTTAACAGTTATAATACTGACAGTTACGGTCAAGATGAAAATTACAATCAAATAAATGATGTGTTCATCAATTCAAACAACATTAACAATACTACAACTACTACTACTCCTCCTCCTGCTACTCCTGCTCCTACTACTACTATTAACAATAATAATAATAATAATTGTAATAATAATGATAATAATAATAGTAGTAATGGTAATAGTAATAATACTAATGATAAAGTAACAAAACAAAATCAGCTGATTTCAACCCTTTATATTAATTTCTATCAAACCCAAAATGATATTACTTTAATCAAATCAGAATTGATACAAATGAATCAAAAACTTGATAGAATACAAAAAGATTTTAATGAATTTACTAAATATTTTATTAAAAATGAAAATTCATTCAATAATCAATCCATACCTCTTAATACTTCTAATAATAATAATAATAATATTGAGAAACGATTGAAAATGATACATTCAGTTGCTGGGAATGATACTGTCTCTTCAACACAAACAAACATTGCTCATAGTAACAATAATAATATTAACAATGATAATAATAATAACAGTATTAGTAATAATAATGTTAAAAATTCAAAAGATGGCTTATCCCCTTCTAAATCTATTATACCAACAACAATAATGAATTCACGTCCATGTTTACATCAATATGGTAGAACACATCATTATTCACCAGAGAATCGTGTAGTGACATTTCAATTACCACCACGTAATTATGATTTTCGTAGTCAAAGTTTAACTAGTTCAAGACAAATTTCACCTGAAACACCAAAATCTAATCCAATTAAAAAATTATTACATAAACATCCATCTATATCACATGATCTTAATTAAAATAGATATTGAAATTCAATATATACATAGACATATGATATGTACATTGTTTATTCATTAACATATATATGTATTTCAGTGGTTAAGATCATGAGTCAGTCGAACCTACACCGCCATAGAAAACCAAGAAGTACTGGACAGCCATTTCGTCCTATTGTGAGACTCCTCAGCAGTGCGCATCCATGACTTCCCCCCTCCTGTTGAGGATTCCCACAATAAGACGAAACGGCCGTCCAGTGCTTCCAGGTCTTCCATGGTGGTCTAGCTTCAACTTGACTCATGATCTAAACCATTGAAATTACTACAATCTCTACAAAACCCATCTGATATATATATATATATATACACTCATTTTGTATACATTCACTAAAACGATACACATTCACTTCTATCGAAATGGGTTCTTTTTTCTCCTTTTTTTCTGAGATATCATTTTTGTTTTGTATTTTTTTCTATCATTTTCTTCTTATTTCTATTCATGTACAAAGAAAAGAATTTGGATGGAAATTGTTTTGTTTGATTGTAACATTTCTAAAAGTATCTTCACACATGTTTATTCACCTAATTTTGTGTATGTATGTGTGTATGTAAGTGAGTGAATGGTTCATTATTACCAGACAAGATGTACTAATCATTAAATAATTAGATCATGTTATGATTTAGTTATATATGAGATGTAGTTAGAATTAACATAATCTTTCCTCAGCAACAACAACAACAACAACAGCAAGAAAGTTGTTTTGTATACGTTAGAACCTCAACTTATTTTTTATTGATAAGCCCTTTACTCTTTCTTCTCTTTTTAAAGGAAAAAAAGGAAAAAGAAAAAATATATATGTATACAAAAACATTTTTTTTCTTGTATCTATGTGTATATTGATCAAAGATGCATAAAGTGAATAAACCACTACATTTCAATGTTCAATATCTTCATTGATAAAAATGATGAGAATTAAATTTTGAAGAAAAAAAAACGAAAAAAGAAAAGAAAAAAGAAAATAACAAAGAGAATGTAGTGAATTAGATTGTATTATTATTATTATTATTATGGTTGTTGAATTTAATGAATTTACATTTGGGGGGTAATTCCTTCTATTTTGTAGATTTGAATCAAATATATTTTTTTAAATTTAAATTAAAGAAAATTTTTTTTTGGTTTATTTACATGTTCCTCAAATGATGTTAGTTACTGTAAAGGTAAAGTTAAACTCCTCTCAATATTTCAGCTAAGCGCCCCCAAATGCTCTGGTACAGCCGAGAGTGGGGAGAGGTCACTCTGACTCTCGAAATGTTCTCGCATGGCCACGCGTACATAGCCTCTGTCAATGAAGTTCTACTCACTGCCTTCTCGTGGCAAGGGTGTTGTTTACGAAATTGAGAGGACGAAAAACGAATGTCCGAAGCTTTAACCGGGTTGATGGACACACAGAATCCAACTAAGGGAGTTGGAAAACCTTGATTCTAAACCAATGATGCACATGATCTCCAGTATCCTGAGAGAACAAATGGCGTATGAACCAATCGTTGTTTACCGACCACCATGGGAATACAACTCACTATGCTCCAGTTCCTTGTGGATCAGACCTTTAGGTCAAATGCTCCGGGTGTAGCTCCTTAAGAAAATCATCTGCTTCGGTTTGGGCACCCACGCAGTATCACAGCCGTCACACAAAACAAATGAGATTTGTGTGGCGCATATGTATCTAGTGCCCCCTTGCACTAAGATGGATGTGCCCAAATAAATTAATAATTTCAGCTAAGCACACTAAATACTTACTGTTTATACAATTTATAATGCTTTAAGTAAGGACAGATGACGCCTGTGATAATATTGAAAATCACTGACCAAAGAGTAGGTATATGGTTCGAAACTCTTAAAATTTGATCATAGAAAGCTTTAATCTATCAACAGGACACAAAATGCAGATATCTTAAAATGAAAATATTTTACGATTCACAGACCACTGAGTAGTGACCAATATTATTACATATTATGATATATTATAATATTATTACTCAAAGATCAGTCAACTGTCAATAAGTCTCAGTCCTGAATAGCTTAATGGTAATGTTTATTATTATGAAGCTGGGTGGCATTTGACTGAGTTCGCCAGGTACCATCAATTCCCTCAAAACTATAGTCACACCTATCTGACAAGTGTCATGTAGGAGGAAACTTGAGTTTAGGGTTTTCAATCAACTACCTTCAACCACCATCTTAGATGAAGATATTTACTAGACGACAGGATAAGATTTTTATTAGTGAATATAGAACAATAATACATAAGAATAAAAGCCGCTTAATTGAGAGTAATATTGTTGTGAACAGATCACCGATGGGGACAATCGAACATATTTAACACGACATCACAGAGCATCTCAATAAAATCTGAAAACCATATATTAACTAGTTAATTTGAAAAATATCAGTCCATCGTCTCAAACTTCACTATTTCTTTTACAAATATTAGTCCATTGTCTCAGATTTCATTGCTCATGCATTTTCATACCAATTGCGTTCCGTTTCCGGTCTTTCCTTATCGATCTTCTGTAGCGTGGCGTCGAGTTGAGGTTAACACCGCTACAAAGAAACACGTGCCAAGTAAATCAGAAGGCGAACGTCGAACGTAACCAAATAAATCTATAAAATCCCCGAGAAGCCAAATATCAGAAGGCAATTAATGGACCAAATCGAGATATATTCGCTGGCCATCTCGTGGCATCGAAAGGATACCGAGATCGTGCCAGGATAGAAGCTTGGTTACAGAACGTAACCGAATTCGCACAGTCAAACAAAAGCACATTAAAATAAACACTGGTACAGTTGGTTATAATAATAATTGTTTTTATTAAACCAGTCGTGTTCTCGTGATAAACGTGAGTCACTACACTTCTGTTGAAATACATTCTATGCCTGACCACTGTTATACACTACTTATGTGGATATAAGTAACCCACGCCACAATATGAAATAGCCCGTTTTAGGCAAAATAAGCCAAATACTAACGTATAATTCAGTTAGCCTATAAAAAAAATCTTCAAAATTTCATCCTTTTTGCAATTGCAAAATGATGAGGTTCGCACTGTTTATTTAACTGCATCTATCATAATAGATACTCAGGATTATTCCTATCTAGAACGGAAATTATTCAATTTAAGTAGTATTTGTCGTGAATGAGCGAATTTCAATTGGGACTTTGATGAAATATTTCTTATACAAAATGACTGTTCAATAGGTACTTATTAAACTGTATTACCATACTCTAAAGAAACCAGATTCATCGTTAGCTGTTAGCTAATCTTCCCGTATATTCGTATCAGTACAATTTGAAGATGAAACCTTTCTTCAGTGCTTCCAGGTTTTCAGTGGTGGTTTAGTATTGATCGACTCGTGAATTCAGCTGTTGTCAGTCTACCTATGTATTGACTATATCCCCTTATTATATTGATTTATAAATATTTGAGACACTCTGATTAATTGACACTACGGACAGTCTGTATCGATTTTTCCACGCAATGCCGATTTGGCTAGTCTAATGTAGTCCTGTCATCATTTCACTACAATACAATTTCTGGTTATCCTATTGTCAGTTTTATTTTTATTCTAATGCAATTGCTGGTGGGGGAATTTATTTTTACCTCCGCGTGCGGCATGAAATTAATGCATCATTTTTATATTCCTGTAGTCGTAATGTGCTGTGCAACATTTTCGCATACATACGGTAATTTTGGTCGCGTTTAGTACAGTTCGGAGTAATTTTTGAATATCCTCTGATAGTATGGGTCGATAATGTGCTAAACAGAGACGGGATAATTTAAAGACAGAAAATAAAGTTACTCGAACAGATAATTTAGCATTGTCATTGTAGTGTCCGTCATTATTTTAAGCCCATATAGATCTTATTCTAGTTTTTGGACAGCGTATCTATTCATTCTACTTGAGTCATATTTTGACCTTGAAAATTATTCGCTTATCAGTCTTGGCTGTTTTTTATATGAGTGTACATGTGTGTACACTTCATATCCCATGTCTCATCACATGTATGTAGTTTATTTTGTCTGCCTATAAATATTGAGTAACGCCTGTCTGAAAAAAAGTTGGCTTACCAGCCATCTCCCCTGCGCGGCATTTTGCTTTGTTCTATCACATTCACTTTATATTCAAAATAAATGTATTCAAAGGCCATTCCCGTTAATTGACTTATCTAAATTCAGTTATTGACTAACGTAATTTGGGTCGATAATTGTATACGAGGATAGGTGATAACGAACATTCGTACGATCTAAATGGAGTCAGATCCATGGGCCACTAAATCATCTACTAACCTCCGTTTGCACGTGTCGATGATAGATTATGAAATTGTAGCAGGTCTTTACCAATAGTTAGCGTAGAAACATCTGCAACAACGGAAATCTAGTGAGCGTCTTTGAGTAGACCAGTAGAGGCATTGGGCCTTAACCACATAATCCTCAAAGCTGAACACGAGACAACTGGGAAAATAGACATTCAACGTTTAACGCGGAGAAAAATCCAACGATGGAGAAGGCGGGAACAGTAGATTGAATTAGTTGGAATTAATTGGATGGCATGGCTCAGCCTTGCAGGCGTGGTCACTCTTGAGTGTTGCCATATATCTTATTCATATTAAATATATTGTTCTGTCTCCTGTGCAAGCTCGTTCTACATCATATATTGATGGTTGTTACGATGCGGAAAGTTGGTGTAGACTATAATGTGATCTTGTAGATTAGACAATTGCATCATGACAAATCTACAATTTTGGGATTAAGTCTATCATTATAGTACTATTAATATCGAAGTAGACTATCATTCTGCAAACCCACGTTAAGATAAACATATCGTTTACTGTATATGGCAATCGGCTTTTCATATGCTGTCTGTAACTTGGAGACTAGTTCATGCAGACAGTTGTTATGAGAACAACGCTACCTTTCGCTCCAGTGTCAACGATTTAGCTAACTTTTGTCATCACATCAGTGATATACAACAGATATCTGTGGTTGCCGGCTACGGTTACCGTTGACGCGTATCGGCAGGGAACTTTCTCGAAAACGTTTTCGTGTAGGACGGTTTGAAGCCCGGGAAACTGTGATGTCTTTGCGATTTCTAGAGGACCTACCATATCTATTGTGGTTCACCACCGGTCTGGATTATCTGCCTTCCGTGGTATTGTGACAGACTCTTTTCATGAAGAACTCCTTAGAGCAGTTTTGGTAGCTTCTTCGATTATGAAGAATACTAAGATGACGAGTCAGAGTTTGGCATAGGTCTGTGACGTCATTTTGTATGGTTTGAGACTTTTTTTACAGAATAAACCTCGGCGTTTGCGGTTCTGTTAATCTCAAGAATCCGATCGACAGATACGTTCGGTTTGTACACGGCATCATTTTGAGATGAGACAAGAACCACCTACGCCTGTTGGAGAAGCTTAGACAAGATCTGTTTTAACAAGCTCTCGCCAAAGGTTCGTTGATCAATGACCTCTGGCATACGTAGCAACTTTTCTATTGTTGAACTGTGTTGCAAATCGATGTTGTAGAATAGCTAGTCGGTTAGATCTCCACCTTTAAGGATAACCTTCTTTAAAGTGTCGTAAGAAGCATCACTAGTAGACATACTAGGCATTACGTGCCTGTCAAGAGCACGGGAGATTATACACCTGGGCGTGTCATGCTGTGCTCAGGCAAGCCAGCGGAATCAAGCTCCCATACTGTCCGGCCAGAATGTCATGAGCTGAAATGTGGGAGGCGAAAGTGTCTTAATCTGTAATAACTAAGGTCCTTTGTCCGTCACGATGAAGATATAATATATCAATCAACAAGAAAAGATGTCCGAACATATGAAAACAGTATCACGATGTGTAAAAATAAACATTAAAAAATTGTTATGTATTATTCCGATAGTCTGGGTATGAATGTGCTCTCAGTTGTGTAAATGAATAACCGTTACCATGACTACATTACTCGTTGTATACTTGCAGCTGTACTGATGATTGCAATGAATAATATTTCGAGCAAGTTCTTACTGCCTCATTAATTTATATCTATTCCTCTTTGTATGAGTCGCAAACTGTATAAATGGAATTAACGTATCAGAAACAAACTCTTATCTGTCACCTTTTTATACGCTGCATTAATTAATGCAGATCTCGTTAACGAGATCTGTCAACAAAAGATACTTGAGATAAGTGACGTTTTCTATCCCATAATTATTGACTTAAGATGGTGAAATAGCATTCAATATCAGCTAAGCCCTCTTACCTTCATTTCCTGCCGTCCTAAAGTAAATACACAAGTTTCCTCACACCGGCATTTCATTCACTTCCTCCAAATCTCTTTTGTATCTGTGATATGCAGGATATAATGTTTTGTAAACGGTGTCATTCGATGTAACTGACTCAACCACTTCATTATTTCTACAATGAAGTAACGAACAACAAAAATAATAAAAACTCGTTTGTAGTAGTTCTTCGTCACGACTTGTTTTAAGAAATCCTAATGTTTCGACTATTATGAAACCTTCTCTTCAATATCTTTGTTTGTTTATACTGCTGTGTTTTGGCACTCATTTACTATTTGGATAAATTCTCGCTTAGTTTTTGGATTCTCGTTATCTATTATCTTCTTGTTGGCACTTTCTTAATAATGAGAATATTAGATAATAGGTAATCTTTTTCATCAGCATTTTTTATGAATATTTCCAGGTAATATACGTCTAGTTTCAAAGTATTCACCACTGTGAATTAACTGCAGTTAATAAAAACTTGCTAGTAGTCATCAGCAATTATAACTGTAGTGTCCACTTCGTACAGCATTCGTTTAAATCAGATTGCTTGACGCCTACTAGTATATTACTGCTAGCACGTCATTATACTGTAGTACTTCTTAACTTTCTGGATCATTAAACATCACGTCGTACGAATGCCAAAAATCTTTTTTCAATCAAATTAACTCAAACGCACAACAAATATGTCTTAATGAGGCAAATTTTAGTTGCGTTTCACACTTCGGTAGTTTATTACAGAAATATCTTGCCTTATAATTTTTTCGTGACCCAGTTCCGATTAATCTCTAAAAAGTACACCAAATACTTGGTATGTCCTCAGTCTTCAGTAATAAGGATATTAGGATGGTGAACCTGTGTTAACCCTGACAGACTGCCTTCCAGTGAACGTTCAGCTTCTTGTAGATATTCACTGATGGATCTGATACCACTTGTTCGGGTACGGTGTTTCAGTCATGTACGTTAACCTTTGTCCCGGCACTTATTAAATACAACGATGAACAAACCATCGTATATATATATATGTTAATTTGGTGTTATTTTACACAATTCTAGCTTTGTCAAACTTCAGGAAAATTTATCTTGGTTCCTTTTCTGAACGCATATCCATGGTTGAATCACTACCCGTAGGTCTGTTCTTAAAATTCTTGCTAGATCTACTGACAACAGTCCAAGAGTGAGTAAGTGTTTCTGCTACCACTCAATTTGTTGATTTGAGGATCTGGATTTCAGACTCAGACACTTCAACTACAATCTGTCACTACGAGTACGTATAAAAATGTGGTTCGTTTCGCGCTAGTTTAAGAGTGCTAATTGTAGGTCATAGTCCTGAATTCATCTCATAATCAAGACCTTTTTCAAAGAATTTTTCCGCGTTAGGAAGAGTAGCGAAATCATGGTGATAAGTAACTCGCTCCTCTTGGGTTTAAATTTTCGTTGGAAAATGTCTGTTTCAAATGAATATGTCTGACCTCTACCACTCACTCTTCTAAATTAGTGGGCACCCGGGCAGTATCACAGCCCTCACACATATCGAATGAGATTTGTGTGGCGCATATGTATTTGGTGCCTCCTTGTACCAATATCTATGTGTTAAAATAAATTAATAAATAAATTGTTCCTAGGCTCCTTATTTGAGCAATACGATCATAACTTTAAAGGAGGTCTTTTTATATTTAATAATCGGATAGACTTGATAGGAATAAATTTTTAAGACAGATAATAGTGAAATCAGAGCACTTAAGCTTTTCTGTAGAAATATGTCACTTTTCAACATGAGCTATCACGTTTGTCGAATGTTTTCAATTATTTTACTTTTTTTCAAAAATTAAATACGTTACAATCCTTATATTGCTGTACGTAATCTTTGAATCACTTTACTGGTTATCACCCTGAAAAACATCTTACAGTACTTCCTTTATTCTACTATTGAAAATCAAAGCAGTAATTTCAATTGCATGTAGACACTTTCGTTCAACCTCATGTACGTTCAACAATGCGGATGTGGTTTTGATTTCACAGCACAAGTCTTGTGGTATCATCACTCTTAACCGCCCAAAAGTTCACAACTCCCTGAATCTTGAAATGTTAGGAATTATTCATTCCAAATTAAAAGACTGGAATCACGATCCATCGGTAATCGTCTAATTTTTCTTTATGTCAGGTCTCACTTGTTGTTATAGAAGGTTCTGGTGAGAAGGCATTCTGCGCTGGTGGTGATGTACGTTTTATTGCATCTGCTGTCCAAAAAAGAAGTATTGCTGCTCAAGAATTCTTTCGTAAAGAGTATCAATTAAATCATCTTATTGGGGTAATGACCAAACCATATATTGCTATTTTGAATGGAATCACAATGGGTGGTGGTGCAGGAATATCAGTACATGGAAGGTAAAAATTTTTACTAGCCATGTTTCCACAACTATATGTTTTACTCGTGTATATTTCTTGTTTTATGATCACTACTTATTTATCTAGATACAAAGTTGGAGACAATGGATAACACTATCCGAAATCGATCACAATATTGTATATTTCATCATTCTTTATGTCAGTATTATTCAATATTTTTTATGCCTCTTTTACTCGTTCCTATTAAACTCTGACTTGTGTTCGACATTTTACTGTGGTTTACATTATTCTTCTCACCCCTTGAAATAAATATGATGATTAGGTGTCATATATGATTGGTGAATATCAGCTTTGTGGGTCACTCCCTCTCAATCAATTTAAAACTATAAGTTATTGTTCAATTTATCTCTATGCCAGAGAAGCCTCTAGAATTTTTTGACTTTTATGATGTCATTTCTATCCAAGCTTTTGACATTTTGCTGGTAGAATATGTACTCACGATTGTCTAAATGCATAGACATAACCTAAAATATATTCTAACGTCCGATAGTTAATTTGCTTTTATAGGAGGAACTACAGTGTACAAAATGGACTCTTTCATCTTTGTCCGCATGAAAAGTAATCAGCCATGAAACGTTGCATCGTATCTCTTATACCACAAGGTATATACAGTTATGGCCACAAATTCGACCAGGAAAATGTCGGAATAATGGATAAAGGAAACCCAAAGAAAGTTAGAGAACTTTTAGATGACACAGATTTAGCCAGGGAATTGATTGATTATCAATATGAAATGTGGTATTTTAAATTGAGTGAATCGACAACTCTAATTACATTCATTATTTTTGCGTAAGCTCTGAACATTGCATTGTTTCGCACTTTTTATTCACTTTCATATCTTGTTTGCTGTTTCTTTTAATTGTCTAGTAGTTTTGGTTTTTTTATTTTTACTTATTTATTTTTCTCTTGGCGTTTATGTAAAGAATGCCAGCCCAAGCTTATAGGTATTTATGTCAGGTTCGACTTACGATTGAAAACCTGAGGAAATACCTTTTTTCAAATAGTCTCGTTTCCGTTTAAAGTGGGACCCTGATAGCCCATTCTAAATAGATTTTTTAAAGGTTAGAAGGTTAATTTATTTTTGCACATTATGCAGATCCTTTTAGTTACTTATACTCATTAAACGAATAAGTAAATTGAGTTACTAATCATTGAGACAATCTTATAGCATTGTTACTTCTTTACTTTTAATTCCATCTATTCTATTTATTTGATTTTACTTATTGTTTGACAATCCTGTTGACTTGAATATTTTTTAGATATCGTATAGCTACGGAAAAAACAGTTTTTGCTATGCCTGAAACAATGATTGGTTTTTTTCCTGATGTTGGTGGAGGCTATTTCCTACCACGACTTCCTCATCCAGGACTTGGTTTATTTTTAGCACTAACTGGATATAAGTTATCTAGTATGAATACTGTATGGGCCGGTATTGCTACACATTTTATTCATTCTAAAGATGTTAGTTGACGGTTTAATCTTTTTATATTGTTTTAATTATTAGTTTTGAAAACATAATGTATTTGTTGTCTGAGTCTTTGATTTACATTTCATGTTAATGAGATATATATAATTTTTTTGGAAAAGCCAAAAACAGCCACTACTTTTTCCAAAACTAGTGATCTAACAGCTACTCGGTGCAGTATGTTATGAATTGAGTGGATTTGGAAACTGCGAATCAATAAATTCTGTCTTAGTGTCTAAGTGCTACCGTGCTCGTGACAAGCACTGAATTTGTGGTTTTTCGTATTATCTTATGATCGCGTCTTTCCAATAGGGTGCGAGTATTCAGTTCTCTCTCGTTTCCAGTGGTTTTTGACCAAATGTTCACCAAGCATTTATAACCTATTAATAATGGCTATCTGATTAGAAGTAGTAGCTTATCAAAATAGATGTGTTTTTTAACGGTAGTGACACTTCTAAAGACATAATAAACCATACTACCCTTTGACTTGCAAGTATCACCCATTTAAAAAAAGGACATTTTTGAAAATTTATGCATATACCCTGGGTGTTTTATAAGATTCTTTCGGAGAATAGTTATAGTTGCATGCTACCAACTATTTCTAGAATATATGACAAACTATCCACGATTTTCCAATTTTTGATGGTACAAGGAATGACTCCAATTCAGTATAAACTAAACCAAAGCTTTATTTTGCTCAGTAATATTCTGATGGATGAGATTTTTGTCTATCATACTGTGGTTTATGCTACTTATGTTGACATATATAAGTAGTATGTAACCAATCGAAAGTGAAATGCCTGGCAACAGAAGATTGAGAAGATGGAATTGAAGAGAAAACGTATGTAAACAGAGAGTAATTTTAATAACAACAGTAGCGAAGGAACGATGAAGTTTGTAAAGGATGATTGATAGAAGATGTGCAAATAAAGTATTTAATATTTAATTTTCAAATTTTATGAAGACAGTAATTTTACATTAAACTATAATTTGAACTTCCCCACCAAATCTTCGTTCACTACATTACTATTAACTGACCATGGCAAGAATTGTGCTCTGATTTTCCTACTACTTACCATATAGTTGTGTGTTGTTGTTAGCGGGACATAGACTAGACTAAAGCATGCTCAATGCATGATTGCTTTGGTGCACGCTGATTGGCTAATTCTTATCCAATCAGCGCTAGTCGATAGTTGGAGAATATTCTGGATTCTTCTTATGTAAAAACTATAAATATACCGACGTTTTCCCCTATTGTGCTTCCTACTGGCTTCTGACTTGCTATTTGGAATATAATCTTTTTCCTGTTCAACCGTGTTCTGATTTGGGGACTTGTCGAGTGAATCGGTGTCCGAGAATACTAAGCAATAGGAATAGCTGGGTCATTAACCGTAAGAAACAGAGTTATAACAGTGGCGACGGGGAAAAACTAAAGAAAAATGGCGATTTCTTTAGAACAGTTGCGGTTAATATTACAGCACCAGCAGAAGTTGTTAGCCTTGCAACAACAACTATTCAACACACTTTTCACTCGACCAGAAAATAAGAAATCTGTTTATGATGCAGTAACAGACATTTCAGAAGCATATCTAGTGGAGGGTTCAAATCCCTTTATACCTGAATCAGAACGTAATATTTGTAACGTGTCCGGCTCACAGCAAGAAAATACTGTGCTGAATGCACATGAAGTTGTGACAATACCAGATGATCAGGAGTCAGGTCCTGTAGATGAAGCCCGGAGTCCAGAATCAAATGAAACACTACTGGTACTGTCTAGCTGCGAAAATAAACGTCAGCTCGAACAAAATTGTGGTCCACGTGCTATTAGTCGAGAAAGCTATGGTGACTCGTATTCAAAAAATAACTGGAGCAACACGATGAACCAAATAGTACCAGATGTTACTCAAAATCACCGGAAGACAGAATTTTATATTGAGTCAACTTATCCCATTTCTAATGACAGTGTACCAGATATTGATTCTCAGAATAATGCATATGATTTTGATGAACCTTCTTATAACAATGAGGGAAATATGTCAGCTGAGTCGAATGATGGCCAAAAATCTAATCTAATTCTGTTAGACGTTGACTTTCTTAATGACTCGTTATCAGCTAACGAGATTCATAATGAATTTGAAAATAATGAACTCAGATCAAAGGTTGTTCATCATCATCTAGTCATTTTTAGTGGATTCTCCAGTCAATACGAGAAACATGGTTTAAATAAAGTCCTACTAGTTATAATTTGGAGCCATAAGGACCCAACATTATTTCGAGGAGGAGGAGAATGTTGGAGAATTAAAAGTTATGCATACTTTTTTTTAAGAAAAATCAAAACGCCGGGAACAGACATGTCAGTCTCTGTGCAAGGAAAAAGTGATAATTCTTCATTGCCTAGACGATGGACTAATCGAAAGCACAAGCCAGTCACTCAGTTGCAGTTGGACCCTAGCACCAGATCCTACGAATCTGCTCAGAGGGGAGGTGTTAGCGGGACATAGACTAGACTAAAGCATGCTCAATGCATGATTGCTTTGGTGCACGCTGATTGGCTAATTCTTATCCAATCAGCGCTAGTCGATAGTTGGAGAATATTCTGGATTCTTCTTATGTAAAAACTATAAATATACCGACGTTTTCCCCTATTGTGCTTCCTACTGGCTTCTGACTTGCTATTTGGAATATAATCTTTTTCCTGTTCAACCGTGTTCTGATTTGGGGACTTGTCGAGTGAATCGGTGTCCGAGAATACTAAGCAATAGGAATAGCTGGGTCATTAACCGTAAGAAACAGAGTTATAACAGTTGTTTTTACTACATCCCCTACGATGGAAAAAATTGTCTTGTTTGAGCGAGAAACATGACAACACTTATAAACTTACTAGTATTCGTGTTTACTTCTGTCCGGAAGAATTCAAGCTTTACTATTTTCTTATTACTGTCGAAAGGTACAGACGTAGTTTCTGATTCATACATAAATGCCATCACATACCAAACAGCATCTTCTGTATAAAGGTAGCAAAAACAGCTTTTTGACGATGAACATACGTGTGCAAACCCATAGGTCCATTTCAAGAGATATGGTGCATCCTACTCAATCTTTATTGCTGTTCGTGGGTCATATTACACGTTTAAAAATTATTCACAGAAAGCCTCATGTCAACTTGTCACAAATCCTTAAATGCAGTAATGTAAAATATATCTTCTGGATTGTCAGCTAATAAGTTGCTTGTGTGCACAACCTGACCCTATAAGAAATTATTTGACTTACGAATTAGCTTTCCAGGTTATATATACAAAGTTAAACATTGTGTTTTCAAAGCTGTGCTAGTAGCGTCAAGCAATAAACTACATCTAAGCGATACTGAATAAGTTAAACATGATGTCTCGATTTTCCGGTATCTTTTGGTGAGTAAACATTTACTTACAAAAAATCACTAGTCATTGTTTTTACACACTATTCGTTTTTTTATAGTTATCAAACTTCAAAAATGTACTAATGAATCTTGAATTAAAATCTACATGTAGTCCAGATGATAAACCAGAATTTGATTATGCTATTGACAAAGTAATAAATCAATTTACTAGTTATGTGCCTAGTTATTACCATTCTTCAGTATCCAATGATCTTCTATATATTTTAGACGATTTGTCAAAAATATTTTGCTTTTATAAGAATAATGATGATGGCGGTGATCATGAGATTCCAGTCTTTATGGAAGATATCCTTATAAAATTATCTAAATGTTATCAGAATATAGAAAATCATGAGAAAGTCATTCATTGGGCTAAAGAAACTTATGACAAATTATTGAGTTGTTCACCTACTTCATTAAAAGTATGGTTTCATTTTTCATTCTATCTTGTCTATTAATGTTTGGGTTATTTGTATTTGATTTGTTTAATATTTCTTTAGGAGAAGTCATAGTGTATCAAATAGATAGATGGTTAGTTAATCTTTGACCGTTAATTTTGGGGTTTGTTTATAAATAGTAGACATCATGGTATTCTTGTGAAAGAAAAATATAGTGATATGGTGTTAGATCTATATTACGATGAACTCATTCGCTATTCAGATTTCTCTTCCAATCTGTAACATCCTTCTATTTCTAGACCTTAACTTTTATGTTTGTCTTTACTATCATTCACTTGAATTTAATGAGAACATTGACACATGATCAATGCATTCTGTTATGTAGACATACCTTTGTGTCAAAATCAAATGGATGTTTTTCTTTTAATCAAACTAACGCGTTTGGTAGCACGTTGGTTGTTTCAGAGAAAGCTTTAATTTAATGTAATTTATGGATTCATTGTGACTATTTACTTCTACCGTGGTGGCATATTAGAATATACCAAGTAGATATATTGTACATGCAGTATATTAAACCCTTGGAATCCATCACTGACTAAATCACTTTTTCTAATATGTATGTTTCTGATACTTAACTTGAGATACTAAGGATTACAAACTTACCTTATTTATGTATCATGATTTAATTGTTTCTTTACAACAAATCCTTAGTTATTAATATCATCATGTTGTCACTAACAATTTTGATTTTTAAGGTCACTTTACGTCAATTACAGATTGGTTCTAAATTATCGTTTAGTGATGAATTTAAAATGGAATATCGCCTATCACAGAAAATGATTAAAAATCCTGATTTCTATGAAGGTGTTCGTGCTTGTCTTATTGATAAAGATAACACACCAAAATGGAATCCAAATAATCTTACCTCAGTAGATATGAATCAAATTCAATCATATTTCAATCAACTACCGGAAAATGATGAATGGAGACCTGAATAGTTTCTTCTAATCTATTCTGCATTGTTGCTATAACGGTTGTCTTTTTTTTTTGAAATAAAAATGTACGTGTTTACAACTTTTTCATCAACCTTAAAAATAAGAATAATTGGCTTTCTGTTTAAGGAAGACTTTCAATGAATACCAGATTTAAATTCTAGATTTAACTCTCCTTGTTACTTACATTTCGCATTCGTTATGCCCCCAAATGTCCTGGTACGACCGAGAGTGAGGAGAGTCTGCTCGCCCTCTCCAAATGCTCTCACATGGTCACGCGTATACAGCCTCTGCCAGGAAAGTCCTACTCACTGCCATCTCGCAACACGGGTGTTGTTTACTAAATTTAGAGGATGAAAAGCGAATGTCCGAAGCTTTAACCGGGTTGATGGACACACAGAATCCACCTAGGGGAGTTGGAAAACCCTGATTTCAAATCAGTGGTGCACATGGTCTCCAGTATCCTGAAACAACAAATGGCGTATGAACCAATCGTTGTTGACCAACTACCATGGGACTGCATCTCCTTGCAATGCTCCACTGCCTTGTGGATCAGACATTCAGGTCGAAGGCCCTGGGTGTGGCCCACTAAGAAAACTACATGCTTCGGTTTTGGCACTCAGGTAGTATCACAGCCCTCACACATATCAAATGAGATTTGTGTGGCGCATATTTATTTGGTGCCCCCTTGTACCAGTATCTATTTGTTAAAATAAATAAAAAAAACTCTCTTGAGATCAGAATAAAAGTGCATCTCAAGCTACGTTGTCATTAAATAACATTCAAATGACTTGCAGTTGAAAATTTGTTATTAAATTGATTTCGTTGTATTATAAGGAGTATTTAAATCTGTATTAATCAAAGGGAAAAATAGAAAAAAAATCATAAAGACAGTTTCTGTTTTTCTGTAGACAGTTCTGGACTTACCTGAAAACTATTAAAGTTATCTACTCTTATCAGAGTTGCATTTGAAAGCCCTGCATGAAAGATGTATTTTGCAATATTGTGCGTGTATCTATACTCACATCCGTGGTAAATACTTGATTAGGCCTTGTATACATAACCTCATTGCTTAGGTAAAAATAGTTTACGGGACATTACCCATTTTTAAGTTTTTTCATACTTATAGTATTGAATAATTTGTGAGCATTGTAAATAAAATTAGGCTAAAACTAAAATTACAAGGAAAGTTTTTTCAGAGTAAATGTTCCTGTAAATCCTGTGTGTTTACTCGAAGAAAATGGGTATTTAATTGATACACTTATGTTCATACTGACAGATATCAATCATACATTCATATTTTGATTGCTATTACTGCGTAACAACTCAATGTTTATGGTCACTGTAGTACATCATTGCTTCATGTGATCGTGTTAAAGCATCTGGTAATGTAGTACCTGCAATCCAATCTAATTGACGTTGTAGTGCTCCAGTGTATTTAACATTCGGTGAGCCAGTTTTTAAATTAGATTTAGCAAGTGGACCACAAACCTCACAAAAATAACGGCGACATTCTAAACCTGTTCGAGTTGTATAGAAGTGTGGAACATATTGATGGTCTGTAGGTGGTTGGTATAATTCACCGATTTGTTCTTGTTGAAAGGATAAACACAAGAGAAAGCGAATATTAGTATATCAGCAATAGTAGTTTACTAGCTTTTAAGATAAACAAAAAGATAGTCATATTACTCTTAACATTTGCTTTAGAAAGTATTTATCAAATGTATTGAAGTCTACCAATTTGCTGTTTCTCTCTATAAACTGAAGTTTATCAAGACTAACGATGGTATATAAAGTGCGGGTTTCATCTTGTATAGGAATTTTCACGTACCGGCATCATAACGTTAATGTATACATGTGTCTATTGCTTCAAATGCTATAATGTTATCGACCACTGATTCGGAAAAAGCAGCCCTGAATATCAACAATTAAAAAATTCAAACCTTTACAACTGCTAATAGTTGTCACATATTACTAAACGTTTTGTTGATTTTAAATCTATCTAATGAAAATGGTTCCCATGTTTGTCGGGAGTAATCATTTGAAATTACCAACCATAAAATTTAGAATCATAATATATCACATAGAATTAGGTCATTTAAAACAGTTATGAATCGTAAAATGAAAATAAAGTATAAGTTCCATAAATAATACATAAATTAAAGTGATAATCTATAACAGAGAAGTTTTGTTTGTGTAGTTTGTTTAATTCATTATTATCACTAACGACTCTAGGATTATTTTTAAAGCTATATTTATTTATTTATTTAAACATAGACATTGGTACAAGGAGGCACCAAATAGATATGCGCCACATAAACCTTTCGATTTGTATGAGGGCTGTGATACTTCTCGGGTGCCCAGGCCGAAGCAGGTGGTTTTCTTAGGGGGCCACACCCCGAGCCTTTGACCTAAAGGTCTGACCCACAAGGCAGTGGAGCATCGCGAGGAGATGTAGTCCCACGGTAGCCGGTGACCAACGATTGGTTCATACGCCATTTGTTCCCGCAGGATACTGGAGACCATGTGCACCATTGGTTTGGAATCCGGATAAAGCGCCGGACAACACCTACTCTACGAGAAGGCAGTGAGTAGGTCTTCCTTGGCAGAGGCTGTATACGCGTGGCCGTGTGAGAGCATTTCGAGAGGGAGGGCGGGCCCACCCCGCTCTCGGCCATACCAGGGCGTTTGAAGGTCTTTACTCTCCATTGACAAAATATGACTGATCACTAACTGTTTTTTAAATTAACAATTGGTGTCTATAATTTATTCGTGTTGTATTTGTTCTAAAAGCACTCTTTATGTATCTTGACGGTTAGTGAGCATTATTGAGCTAGACAGAGTGATATCCAATTCTGTAATTGTTTTATTACCTAATATATATCCACACATTGATTTTTACAGCTAAATTCAAAAACCGTACACGTTTTTTTCAAGAAGGAAATGAAATATGCTGGGCTGGACCAAATACTAAGCAACAGTTGTTGACGGGAGTTTTTTATTGGTGAAGATCTGGCTAAAGTTCCTCAGGAAATGGACAAACTTTTGCTTAATATTCTGTGGGAGATAGACACATATTTATGGATGGTTTGTGCCTATTTTTTCAATCCGGTTAGGTATCAAAAACTCCCTACTCTTGATTCTATCACCTAAGTAGGTAAGCTCACATATGGGAGTCGTATACATCAGTACAAGACATGGATGACCTCGGAATGTAGCAATTATCTCTGGCTTTATATCTTACAAATACTATGCTAACTTTTGGTCATCTATCATGAACTTTTTTTAATAACTGTAGTGGGAAAAGACGTAAAGTATTTTGGTAATGTTTAAGATTCGAAATAATTACGTGTTCAGTGCTGTATTTATTTCATGATAATTCGCTGACAATTTTTGCATTGAAATCTTGAGATATTTCAGCAATGGGCACTTACGTCACCGTACTAATAGCCTCATCAAGGATCGGGCAAAAGACCATATCGTCAACTTGTCTAATTCAACAGTGAACAATTCTGATAATTAAAATAACTGGGTTAAGTGGGCGTCATTTATAATAGCTTGGTATTAGTTTGCTTTCTTTGTTCTTTCTTTCTTTTGCCTGGTGAATATTTAGTCATTATTTAATCAGCATTGATGGATCGGAAGTGCCACCAAGTTGTACTTGAACTAGCTAAGGAGTCATAGGATTGAGTGACTTTCGTACACAAATGAGTAAGTTAAATAGCTACATATTTTACTTGACGCTGTCTCAGTTCTAAAGTTTATCACGTTTCTAAACAAGTATTTTAAAAATACCGCACGTTGTTCATTATTTAAGTGAGTAATAGTGTATATATATAACTTTAGGCCTTCGTTTTTTGTTCATCATTAACCACTTGCTGTGCGATAAACGATTTATTCTGGTTGGATTTTGTACATAATATGACACATTTATTTCGTATACATAAAAACATACATATAATCAATTATTCATCCAGTGTCAGAAAACTTGATTTGGTCAATATTTACCTAATCTCGTTACCTCAATTTTATATTGATAATTCGACTTTTCAACAGTAATTTAATAAAACATCAGTTGCACGACAAGTATTTTGAATTCACGATATTGCAAATCGATTGTCGTTTGATATATACACTACTGGTTGTCGGTTTGAACGCTAAACGTTCAAAAGAGGGAGAAAAGGTCTTAAGTGTGGGGTCGTTGATGTGGGCTACTAAAGAGTCCTATTCCGAGACACAGCTATCCATCTGTAGAACCCGGGTTTATTCTTACTCCACAGAGAATAGAGTAAGATTGGGAATATAAACGCAGAGAACACCAATTTAATCACACGTGATGGAGAAACGCTGAAAAATGCGGCATCATCGATGAGCAAGGAGGATCTGATGCAGATGTGAAGGCAAGAATTGATAAAGCAAGGATGGCATTCCTATAGTTGAAGAACATATGGAACTCAGTACAACTAACAGTCAACATCAATATCAAAACCTCCAGTGAGAACGTTAAGACAGTTCTAATGTACGGAACTGGAACTTGGGGAACTTCCGTAACCATCATCAAAAACGTGCAAGGTATTTATGAACAATTGCCTAGGCAGGATACTCAATGTCCATTGGCTGCATACCATAAGTAACAGTCTACTATAGCAGAGAACAAACTGGAATGTACGTCCTAGGAGAATTCTGGTAGATAGCCTATGTCCTTCACAAGAGGTAACAAACGTAAGTGATATTACATCTACTATCTACAGTAGTGTTGAAAAGTTTCATATTTATTTAACTACACAAATCAGTAATATTGCCATAAACTTGTTTAGAATATAAATTAATTTTGATTGAGATCATGAACCGATTGAAGTTAGACCACCACTGAAAACTTAGAAGCACTGGATGACTGTTTCGTCCTATTGTAGGACTCGTCAGCAGTGCGCATCCACGATCCCGCTCACGGGATTCGAACCCAGGACTAAAAGTATGGTACAATAATATTTAAATAATCTGATATATAATAAATTATAAAACATAGAAAACTTCAATAAAATAGTTATATGAACATACGTTCTGTAAGATATGCTATATAACTTTCATCTGTATTAATTGTACTTCTAGTCATTTTCAATGATTTCAAATAATGATCATCTTATCAACTAGTTTTTTATTATTTGTTCTAAGAAAATGTATCAGTGCTAAGCAACGAAAAAACAATATTAATGTTTAAACCAATCAGAAATATTGTTAGTATGTTTAATGAAAATCTTGGTAAAAAATAATGTCAACCTTGAATAAACCAATCAGAATTAAGGTGGTACCTCATAGAGTTTTGTTGTTTTTTTTTACCCGAAATCAGAAACTCAATGTAAGATAGCTTGTATATTTAATGAACTAAGTTGAAAATGGTCGGTATTAAGTTTCTAAAATCATTGAACTTGATAATCAGTCAGTCAGTCAGCTAAAACGTAGGACTAGGCACATATATACATCGGTCCAAGTTGCCATATATCATTAACACAACAAGATGAACACCGGATTCATAAAAGTAGTTATTTCAATGGCGGTAATATAAAAAAGAAAGATTGCATATAAAAATATAGTGCAGAAAGAAAGAATTAGATCGTAGAAAGATATGAGCCATGCGACCCAGACTCCAACCATTGGTTACGATAGTCACGCGGACCCCAACCAAGTATTCTGCATCTACCAACATGGCTCAGACCAGAAGTTAGTGACTTTGTGGACTGATGCCACGTTTTGGTTTGGCCGCCCCTAACTTTCTTCCGAACATCCCCTACACTACTCAGCATTGCAAGTCGTGGTAATCGGTGTTCAGGCATATGTAACACGTGGCTCAACTATCTAAGTCGATGAAGATTTACAACCTCATCAACGGATTAGCCATCATTCCCTAATACCCTGCGTCTAACCTCACTATTACTTACCCGGTGATCCCAATACTTCCAAGGTATCTGTGGTAAAATGCTAGTAGCTTACGACCCGACCGTTGTTGCTACCTTAACGTGGTGGTCGGGCTTGCCTATCGTGATGAAGCAACCGAGCTATACTAGCTGGAACAACCGTTCCTCAAGGTCCTACCATACCAGATAGGTCGGTTGAAGAGCGGTAAGGCTAAAAGCAACAAACCCGAGGTCCGAAGGCGAAGTCGTACTGCTGACTGTAGAGAGGTGTGACAGCAGTAAGGTGTTTCATTCAGACAACCAGCATGACGGTGACGCTGCCTTCCCACAAGGAGGGGTGGGGTTAGAAAATGTCGACCCTAGAAATGCACACCTCGCCTTATCCCACGGATATCCATCTCTGACAGTAAGGTCTCAACAAGTACGGAGCTAGCAAAAAAATTACTCATAAAGCAGTCGTGTGTGACCGACTTCAAGCAGTTGTCCCTTGTTTAGTGCGGTCACGCTCTCAGGTCACTAAGACCACCATTAATCCAATTCCTTTTTCAGGTGCCTGCAAAAGAACCCTTCCACAGTGTGGGCAACCGGGACATGAGAACCGCCCTCACACATCTAACAGCACTAAAGACCACTGAAATTGATAATAAATATCTATTGCACAACGAAACAGAATATGGTATAGTGTTTGAGCTAAACTAAAAGAAATACTTGCTCCTGAGGTAGGTTTTTTGTTGGAATATTTGATATGAATCAGTAAATATTCAAGGCTGTTTATGTAGTTAAATGATATTCTCCTAACTTTTTTAATTTTATCAACAAAAGGGTAGCTAAATTTCATTGTACCATATCTGATGTCTGTTATTGATGTAAACTTTAACCCTAATTCGTCATTCAAACTTATAACTTGAACTCAACCTCGAAGTCCTAATCAAATTCTTCTACATTTTAGCTGATATCTGTTTATGACTAAGATTCTATTGGATTAAAACCCTAATTCACAACACTAACACGATTCCTAAAATACAAACTTTTCTTTTGATTCAATATATAAGGTTTAATTAGTCATATTGTACTATAATTGTTTGATAACTAAACTGCTTTTTTAACTGGTTAATAAGTCGCTCAAGGTCTCCAGTATAGTTTACTTTTGGCAAATTTTCTTATAAAATTACCGTGTTTCATTTATTACCAAGTACATAGGAGTAATAAGTTCATTGTGCTATGATACAGTAAAAATATGTTCAAATTAAATCATTTCATTACTACTGCACCGAATTTAATGATCAATCTTATCTTTTTGACATCAGAATCTTCGTTTTTACGATTTATTAATTGTCGTCTCATTATGTCACTTTACCAATCTAAAGACAAGTTTTCTGAAAATTGTTTGGGAAACTATAAGAAATCTTGAGGTTTACACCAAAGTGCTGGATAGCTATTTTGTCCTAATATGGGCCCTCTCATAGTACAAATTTATGACCACATTAGGAGCTCGTCTCTGAGTCTACAAATATCGCGTAAAGCGCTTAACTCCCGAACACTGACTCTGCATTAAACAGTCTACATGTCTAACTTCAATCAATTCCCTAAATTAAAAAATACTTACATGAGTATTTACGATATGATTATTCGATCGAATTACAAATTGGTGTTCTGTTTGCAATGCTGGTCCATCAACCATGATTTTGATTAGTAGTTTTGATTCTTGTTCTGCCATTGTCTGTACATTTACTTTGTCTTTCCCCTTGAATTGATCTTTGACCTTATAATTTTTCTGATTGTTTAAGAAGTTAGATCTATATCAATGTATTTTCATTGATTTTTGCCTGACCTGATTGAAAAATTTCAAAAATCCTCTGATCTCTTTATTCTTTCAGTTCCCAGCCGCAGGTATGTTCATAAATGAAATGAGTGAAGAGACATTTTGGGTCATGATAATTAATTATGTCCCTGAAGACGAAGAGAGTAATAACTCTATCTGATGTAATATTTCTCAGTTTATCTTGTAGATGATGTTTGAATTTTCCACTTTTTGCAATTCTTCAATTGGTTTGCATACAATTGATGGAAGTGATTTTCCACTAGCTCAGAGAACGTAACTATCAAAAGTAATCTCTTGTACGCGAAATTTAAACTACTTATAAACAGAGAGATTCCTACTTACAACTTACTATTTACTCATTTTCTATGAAGGATCATAAAATATTCGAAGTTTACTGTAGCGCGACGTAGGGTTGTCAGCATTTCATAGGCTTATAGAACTCCCAAAAGACGTACATGTATATAATTACATGGCAACTTATTACAAAGGAGACAGAACTTAATACACTGATTGTAAAGTGATTATGCAATTATTATTTTTATTATCATGAGTACGAGTAGTATTAGTATTATAAAAGGTTCATTCAACGTTCAGTCATTCTTGTGGATACTTACTGATTTTTGATATTTTATTCCACTAGTTAGTAAACAGATTTTAGATAAAAATTTCGACTTTTCTCATTGATTTATCTGAAAGGCACTTAGATGACTTTTACGGTGTCGTGACCCAGGTACATGACAATGAAGACCATCTGTTTTAACTATGCTCAGATGATCATATGCTTCTAGCAAGCTTTAACTTTAAACATAAAAGAAAACACTATCTGTTATAGCCACCACCATAATCGACTCAACCATGAACTTGGATAGACCACATCACCCTTAGCCACCGTTGGAGAGGCTCCGTAGAAGACTGAATTGCTCCAAAGCACGTACTTTCCTGCGCTTTCTTGGATGAAGAAAATTGACAGCGAGTAAACGCTTGATGTTGAACCTAATGATGAGAAAGTCAAGAATACATTTCAGGTACAACTAGAAAAGGAACTAGCCAACGTTGTAAGCGATATCCACCTCGAAATAGTCTGCCATGATATTCAAACAGCTGTGCTAACAACAGCGGTATCTACCAGCAACTTGAAACTAAAGGTTAAGAGACCAGTAAGCTTGGGCAGTGTTTACTGAACTAACAGATCCTTTGAAACTCATCCAATCTGGCTAAAAACACAACGAGGAGTGAAGGCAGCTTTGTTGCTGGCTGATAAAATGCCTACCTAATGATATTGAGTCGTGGTGGGTAGCGAAAGCAAAAATAATGGAAAAGGCAGCGGCAGCCTTTCCGGACTTATCTAGTAAGCCAATAATGGAAATCTGGCTGTTATTGGGACTATAGGAAAGTAATAGAGATACTATTCCCTCTCAATTCAGGGACAAGGTCAACTTTTTTCAAATTGCTTCACCCAAGATCGATATTTCCTGCTTTACACCAAACTACTTATTGCTATTCAGTAGTTTGAATTATATCTAGCCGTTTTATGATTGGCGTACATTGGAGTGGATTTTGACCTGTTGAACAAGTTATGCAATCAGTGAACAACCTCTGTTTAATATTTCATATTCTCTACTTCATGTTTTATTTTTATTATGTTACTATTCGGGAATTCAAGTATGAAATATGAACTTTACGTCATAGTACGTTAATCGCTGATATTCACGGCCCATTTTTCATGATAGTACATGCGGTGGTGAAGAATGTTTCCTAGTCATGCGACCCTCGTTAAGATTGATTCTAAGGGCATTCCCTACACTGAAAACCATATGAATCCAAATGTACGAACCCTGCTCTCATTTCATCTTTCATAATAGTACCACATATTCTGACTTTTTTAATTGTTATCAGGTTAAAATTCTCGGTATAATAGGGTTTTTTTCATAATAAGTATGTCGTTAGTGATCATAACTTGTAGTACATGACTTTTTATCACGACTATCTACTATTACTATATCTTAGGTACATTGATTGTTAATCTATATCGATAAGAGTGAATCAACCAATAATATTTGAGTTAAACGCTCACCACTTAGGACTTATTTGGTATCAGGCTGATTATTATTCTAACCCGTTTTACTTAATTGCCAATCATGAAACTGCACCAATCATTATTTTAATACAACTTTATTTATTGATTCATTTTTTTGTCTCTTAACTAGTGTTTGATAGACGTGTATTTATTGTTGTCGTTGTAATTGACTTTACTATTTTGTGTTTTTACACCAATTATATGAATTTACATTTTAGAAAAAAAACATTATAATTGTTGACGATATACATAGTTATCTTTTTTGACTATAGCCCTGCTAAGAATCTATAAGTAAAATATAGGGAATTATCTGGAATTAGATGGTGGTTCGAGGTAGTCGACAAGAAACCCTGGACCTGGGTTTCGTGCTACTTGACACTCGTCAGCAAGGTGTACCTGTAATCTTGAGGGAAGTGGTGCTCCCTGATGGATTCGACCTCGTGTCACCCAGCTTCACATTCGGAGACGTTACCACTGGGCTATCCGAGCCGCGACCGACCTCCTGTAGGACTGAGATGTAATCACAATTGAATGATCACTGGGTGCCATGTGTGTCTAGTCCTTATTAGTGTAGACCGGATGCTATCGATCATGTTGATCGCAACCCAGTGATCAATCAATTGTGACTTATCTGGAATATTCGTCGACGGATTAATTAAATCCTACAATGATAAATTGCAACACCATACAAGAACAGTGCTTCAAAAGCATTGATACTCAAATATGCCTTCAGTGATCCTAAACTTCCACTTTTACAATCATAAGTCAACATAAGCAAACAGATATCTCAAACCGTTGACGTAGACAGTAATAGTTTGACACTTAAGCTAAATGAGCATATTGGCATTGATGTTGAAATTTAGCCACTATAAAAAAAATCTACCAAGATAACAGAGAATTTCACATAAGAGCAGAACATTTTTGTTTAGATTGAATAATTAATTTACATGGTTAAGATCATGAGTCAGTTGAAGCTAGACCACCACGGAAAACCTGGAAGCACTGGACGGCTTATCATGGTGGTCTAGCTTCAACTGACTCATGATCTTAACCATTGAAATTACTATAATATGCACAAAACCTATCTGAAATTAATTTACATTTTAATACTGACAAAAGCTTAACAAATAGAAATGATTTTAAAAATGTAGATTATTGCCTGGTCAATTCTCATTTTCTAATGGAATGTTACATAACAATAAAAATGTAAAATTTCTGATTAATTAAACAAATTATAAATAAAAATTAACCATTTAAAAAGTGTTCGAACGTGTGTGTGTGTGTCTGTGAGTATGTGTATGTGAGGTCGTATTCACATTAAAACAAATTAGAATACATAGTCAGAAAATGCGGGAATCCAAATTCATGAAGGAGGGATATGTAATAAAAGACGATATATATATATATACCCATTATAAATTTACACTATTGTCTAATTGAATGGTTGATAAAAAGCAACTCATAATACAAAAGGAAGAATTTTTATAGGTATAATCGTGTTGCTACGGTATGCCTGCGTGTCTGTGTGTGTGTATGTGGTAGTGGATCTCAGTAAAAGTTTATTCTTTGTATACACATATATTCATCATTTACTTTCTTCACAAATGGAGTACACAATAACGGATATTGAAATCTTCTGGCATATATAATATTATTAATAATTATAAGAATTCAACAGTATAGTTACCATTTTGTTATGAAGATATTCAACAAAGAAGGATATATATCTATAGGATAAATATTTATATATAAATTTATGTGTTTAGATTAGCCAAATCGTTCTTTGACAATAGCTAAAGCATTTGTACTGATTGGATCAATTTCACGATATTCAATATGTTCATCATCTAGTTGATTAGCACTACTAGTAGCAGTAGCAGCAGTAGTAGTCATATTATTAGTACCATTACAAGACATTAAAATTTTATTTGATTTTAGGAATACAGATGAATCCGACTGAGAAGATAGTAGAGGATTGATGTTAGTAAAAGTTGTAGTAGTGGTAGAACAAGAAGAAGACAAAGAATGAGGATGCATCAAAGACATAATTACCGTTTGTTGTAAACCATTTGTTGATAACTGTTTATTAAATAAATTCGAACAAACAGATGTTATAGCAGTATTAGATGAACCTGTAACATTGGATGAAATATCAGAATTTACTGTTGTTGTTATTGTTGTTGCTAAGATAGGAAAAGCTGATCCAGTTTTTAATACTGATGTTGTTGTCAGTGTAGTTACACGAGATGACAACAAATTACCGCCAGCATCAACACCATTATTGTGTTCCTTTGGGCATTGAACAGTACGTAAATCCAAATTATATGGTTCAATATAATTTAAATGTGATATTTTATTAACAGAAATTCCAGATTTTGTAAGATTATTACTGGAGTTTGGCTTTAAAAAAAAGTTATAAAAAGAAATTCATAAACGTTATATTACCATGCTGAAAAATGAATACAAATGAGTTGAACACAATTATCTCAACATAACACCCTTCTAATCTGATCGATATAAAAAATTTTTATTCTTGTAAGATCATTCAAGAATTCTTCGGAAAAAATGCATTCAGTAGTCAATGTCAAGTGCTTAAAAATACTTATGCCAATAAGTTTTTTGTGTGAAAATTATTAAGAGATCCCTACAAAACAATTTGGTATATTTACCTTAATTTATGTGGAGAATTAACGAATGGGTTTGCCGATCTTGGTGTGTCTTTTTTCTCCAGAGCCTTCTGAAATTATGAGACCACGTATAATTGTATGAATACAATCATGATTTATATTAAACTTTGAAGCTAAAGCTTTTCAATTTATCGTCTATTATTCTTTATTTAAAACAGAAGAGTAGACGATTTTTATTGACCTGAAAGAGGTATGGAAATTAGTGTCTAAGCATTTAAGTGGATGACATAGATAATTTACAAACTGGTATTTGTTGTTCTTATCCAAAACACCTCAATAAGACATATGATTACAATGCCCGAAGCACAGTTATGTTAAACCAATGAGTTGGAATCAAATAAAGCACGCAATTGTTTACTCGTCTAAGAGCTACTCTCTACTGATAAATAATACTTTTAAAACTTTTAGTAGGATTCAATAATTGTAATTGTTAGGTTATTATTGAGATGGTGGAGAAGATTTATAGCTCAGGTGGATGATTTTGGTGGAGTTTTGTTCTCTGAGCTGGATGGTTCGGTGGTGGAGCTTTCATCGTTCTTCTGAACGATATCATCAGCACAAACTTCAAACGTCTATCTAAAGTTTGTGCTGATGATGTCGTTCAGAAGAACGATGAAAGCTCCACCACCAAACCATCCAGTTCAGAGAACAAAACTCCACCAAAAATTAGGTTATTATTACTATTATTATGGTTTTTGATTGTTCTAAACTGCAATTTCCAATTGTTTCAAAGAAGAAGAACAACGATGTGAAACAAAAAAAGAAGCAAAACCAAGCTGCCAATCGAATGACGCATAAAAAAAAAAAATGACTTATCAGATTAATGGTTCATCAAAGTTTATACATTTTAATTATCAAGGGTAAGAAAAAATTAATCCTCTTGATTACGTTTTCCGAAAGGTACTATAATTTGTTACTTAGTTTTTCAGAATGAAAAAAAAACAAACAGGTAAATAACTTCGATCAGTCTTTGTTGACATATATGCACTTTATGCGGGTTACTTCAATACATTCAGTAAGATAGAATTTATATAAAACAGAAGGACTATGACTAGCATGACACGCATTTTGTATTATTTAGGAGCCGTCAGTTACATGTGGCTTCATCATCACATCGGGATAAAATAGGCATTCTAGATCCCATTACAAGCCAAAGTCCTTTTATTCTAGAAGAAAGGGATTATGATATATGGTTATTCATTCTAAAATATCATATTGTAACTTTTCACTGTCATTTTCAATACCAAAACAATGTGGATATTTGTCAACACAATGGTATAGAGTTTATAACTCGTCTACAAATTGTATAATTAGGAGTTAAAAGTCTCCATTAAGTACTTATATCAAGGCAAAAAAAAACAATAAGACACGTATCTATGAGCTCAAGGTATATGACTTTGAAATAACTATGTTTTACACCAAGAGGAGACAACTGATTGAAAATGTGCTTTTAACTACTCAGTATTATTGAGTAGTATATATCGTGTAAAAATTTATGAGTACACGAAATTACAGCATTATTCATGTAACTCGTTTTTTAAGTACAGATTTGTGAACTTTGCTTTTGAGTCACACTTTTAGTGTTGGAGCTGATGATATGCATACACATAAAGAAGCTTAAACCAAAATAAGAGGGGCAAGTTTCAAATGTATCTGTAGGTACGGCATATGCTTCACTCCCACTAAGTGTCAAGTAACTTTACAAGACTGTACCTGCACTCACTTCTGGTAGTGAGCAGTTACAATCTGTTAACAAGTCTGTGCAGATGTGTAAGTGCTGGTGGTGACGTAAGTGACAAGGTCAATTTACGTATGGTGAAAACCAAAGCGCTTTACGCCAATCTTGGCGCCTTTGTAATGTTAATTTAGCTGTAAAAGGTCGGATCAACAACGCGTCAGTTGGGGGAGTTTTGCTCTATGCTTGTAAAACATGGCCTCTCTGAGTTTAGCATATTCTCTATATTGGATCATTGTTGTCTCCGAAGGATTGCTGACATCCAGTGGTAACACCATGTTAGTAAAGCAGAGGTTCAGCATCGTTTGTTCGGGTACAGCTTCGGTAGTTAAACTGGTGTCACCATCTTGACACACCGACTTTGGTGATTTGAACATTTACTATGAATGACCTCCCAGCGAATTCTGCAAAGTCCATTATATACCCACTCTAGGAGCGGTTGGATGGAGCGTAGAGGTGGTCAGTGCATGACATGGTGCCGTGGTACGAAAGAAAGCTGTACAGGACTGGCTTTTATGGATCCTTCACAACTCCCTCACGGGAGTTCCCGAGGTAGTGAAACGGTAGCTTGAAAGGTTACCAGATATGGTTCAGAATGGGGGGCTGTGGCAGTCCTGCTGTGACTTTCTTCTATTTTCTTCATATAAGTGAAAGAAGCTTCTATAACTGAAGGAATAGATCCTGGTTGTAGTTATTAACTGAACTGCTCTTCCTGCTATTAATATTATTGTCACATTTCTTTCACATACATTAATTTATTACAATCGCTTTTCTCTCTCTAACTCTTCATGATTTCATTTCCTTATTGTATAGCCCATGTACATTTTGGTGTCCCTTTATGCTAATCCTTATTTAAATTAATTAAAATAAACGATTGAACCTAGATAGTAGTACCTTACTGACAGTCATCTTTCCACTTCCCTAACTTTTACAAGTTTCGTTTTACTTACAAAAATTTGATTTTTGAATACTAACATAAAAACAGTCTGGACCAAACCATAATTAAAAAACTGGGAAGCCGTTTTGTTGTAGTATGGGACTCTTCATTAGCGCGACCATGCGCGCAGCGTTCAAATTCAAGACATTCGCTCTCATGCACAAACGTAAACCAATCAGTATACACTTAGCAACATGGCTCAGTCCACTTGTCAGTGACTTCACGGATTTGTACCATGGTTTGGTCTAGTTTTCTTCCAACCTACTCCTACACCATAAAACTTCACACGTCGAGGCAGTTGGTGGTTGAGCCTACGTAACACGTTTCCCAGCCATTTCAACTCAATGAATTAAAATATAAACAACTTGGCATTTAGGATTTTTTCTTTAAACAATGTGGAAAGATTTGTTAAAAATGAAACACAATCCTTTTTCTATTGAATGTGATAATAAACGATAGTAATATGATATAATATTATAAAATAAAATACACATTAACAGATTGCATGTATAAATGGATTTAACAGAAAAAGGATAATTTTAAACAATGAACATTAGATTCATTCATTTCATGATGTTTTAGAATCAAACATTGGAAGAATGATGCAGTGGTTAAACAAAAACTTGGCATACGTCTGTTAAAACATTGAATGTTAATAGATAAAGACTATCTGGTTATGGTCCATTAGCAACCAGCAGTTGAAAATTCTGAGTAAAATGTTTGAGAAACGAACACGGTAGTGAACGTACATTTACTATTTATCAAACATACATACCTTCCCACTCTGAATTTGAATGATGTACTGATTGCATAGTATTTCCTATTTCATTGGTACTAAATTACATAGACACTTGTTAATTTCACCTGATTGTGCTTAATTGATAAAGCAGTTCAAGTTAACGCATATTAGTATTAGGCTCTATATTACGATGAGTGACCAACTACAATTTACTTATTTAAGCACATAAAAATTGGTACAAGGAGGCGCCAAATCCCCTGGTACGGCCTAATATGTGGAAAGTCCAGTCTCACTCTTCAAATGCTCTCACATGGCCACGTATATAAAGCTACTTTCAGGGAGGTCCTACTGACTGGATATGGAGGATCCACCTACGGGAATTTAAAAAAACCCTGATTACAAACCAGTGTTCCACATGGGCTCCAGTATCCTGAGGGAATAAATGGTGTATGAACCTATTGTTGGTCACCGGCTACCATGAGACTGCATCTCCTGACATTGTTCCACTGACTTGTGGATCAGACCTTTAGTTCAAAGGCTCTGAATGTGGCTCCCTAAGAAAACCAGTTGCTTCGGTTTTGGGCACCCGGGCAGTATCCCAGCCTTCACACAAATCGAATAACTTGTGTGGTACATATATATTTGGTGACTCCTCGTATCAATGTTTAAGTGTTTAAATAAATAGATAATTGACTTACTAACGAAACAAGAGACACTCTAAAATAACAGTTAATAACTTGATGACATTTTAAACTAGTAGAAATTCTTAAGGCAAAACAACAAATATGTACATACATAATGAGAATTTTCTAAAGGATTTAACTGTTTTATTAGTTAATAAGTCAGGTAACAGTCAAACAAAATAGTCAGTTGAATAACTTTATGTTATTTAGTAAGTAGAGATTTCAATGGTAATAATAAGTAAAAGTCATATTATCATAATCATGGTGTTGATCTACTTTTTATCATTATATACCGGTTAGTCATAATAACTTGGTAATAATGACAATGTTGTTAGTGTAAAGTGTTCTTTAGATTGTTGAATTTAAGGTTTTTATATCGTGCACTGGATTAACATGAGTGAAATAACCATTAAGAACCAGGAAACACTGAAAAGATATTACATACTATAATGAGATTGCTCAGCAGTGTAGATTTAATTATCCTATCAAGTATTGAAACTAGGAACTTGAGGTTAGGCAGTGAGTGTTTTAACATTTAGACTACTGAGTTACTATGGTTTACAATTCTAACCAGTTTATTCCCTATATACATATATAGTAGGGATAAACATCGCTGATTAATCTAAGACAATCATCTCAGTGCTATTTTACTTCATAATGCGAAATTTCCCTTCAGTCAGAAGTATTTAGCCAGTTCTTATATCAAGTTATTTGAACAGTTTTTCAATCAATGATGATGGATGAGTAAAAAGAGACAAATATCATATCGATGAAAATATATAAATACTTACTTGATTTTTATCGATTACATTTATGTTACAATGATGATCTACTGATTGTATTCTATTCTCTTTATTGTCTTCGTTGATCTCCTTATCTATCATATTGTGATTTCGATCCAGATTATCACCATTATTATTATTAAACTCATTTTTACAGCGACCATCATCAGCATTTTCATGAGTTGTGTCGTTGAGGATGGAGATATTAACATCACTACAAGTACTACTACTATTTAAACTACTATCTACAGACATATCCGATCCTTTTGCACGAACTGGTAATGGTGATTCTAAACTAATATATGTTTATGTGAAAAGAACGAAAGGGAATGAAAATAATTCTTCACAAAGTTATAACCCAAAACAGGGAGATTTTTGCATAACTATGAAAAAATAAAATGAAAATTTGATTAATGATTAAAAGATTTCTACTGGTCATGAAATTTCTAAGCATTTAAGTTCATCAGATCACAATTCATTTAATGAATGATAACTTAGAAACATGTTGCGTTCTTAGTTTAATTAGTCCAGATTTAATAGAATCGATACAACTAATTATATGAATTTTGAATGTTTTTGCCCTGGTACAGCCGAGAGTGGGGAGAGTTAGCTATATCCCTATCGAAAAGCTTTCGCATGTCCACGCGCATACAACCATTGGCAGGGAAATCCCACTCACTGCCTTCTCGCAACACGGGTGTTGTTTACAAAATTTAGAGGATGAAAAGCGAATGTCAGTTGCATTAATCATGCTGATGGATATGGAGGATCCATCGAGGGGAATTAAAAAACCCTGATTACAAATCAATGTTCCACACAGGTTCCTGTATCCTGAAGGAATAAGTTGTGTATGAACCTATTGTTGGTCACCGGCTACCATGAGACTGCTTCTCCTGACATTTTTCCACTGACTTATAGATTAGACACCTAGGTCATAGGCTCCGGGTGTGGCCCACTAAGAAAACCACCTGCTTAGGTTTTGGGCACCCGAGCAGTAATCCATCCCTCACACAAATCGAATGATTCACGTGGCGCATATCTATCTGGTGTCTCCTTGTAACAATGTTTATGTGTTTAAACAAATAAATAAATATGAATATGATCTCACCTTAATGTCTTCCAGAAGTGTTTATGATACTAAGTACTTTCGACACATAGAATCTCTTTTTCTAGTTTACTATCAACAAACTAAACTAATTAATTTCTATATTTATTTTTTAATCTAGCTGAAACCCCCTAAAATACATGTATTCCATTCTCACTAACTTGTCTCCATACTATACATTTTTTACGATGTATATATGAGAATTTTCAACAGGCTAAATCGAAAAACAAATTAAGTTCAAAAACTAATACTCAGTCAGTTAGCCACCAGTTAAATACGAGTATAAAACCTCGGGTTCAGTTTCAGTTTGGAAAGGACAGGAAACTTGTTGACCTTGATTAGTTCTGTTAAAACATGTTCGATATTTATTATTTTTCTTTAGAGTATTATCATTCAGTATTTTCATTCATCTGACAACGGATTATATGTAAATATTTTCGTTCTGAATCACCACTATTGTTAAGCTAATTAAATCTCACAATTAAGATAAGCAACAATGCTGTTTCGGCCTCTCACCCCAATTGTACATGATGAATATAGTTGAAATGTAGGCTGTTTGGTATATATATGACTACTGTTGAAGATATGTGAACTATTTTTACTGAAAGAATTATATGTTAGATAAGAATTCGTACTTATAATCCATAATTATGATGCGGAGGTCGAGAGTTCGTGCCTCTCTCGGAGTACAGATATGCCCCAAACGCCATGGTACGGCCGAGAGTGGAGACAGTTCTCTCTCCCTCACGTATATAGCCTCTGCCAGGGAAATCCTACTCACTGCCTTCTCACAACACGGGTGTTGTTTACGGAAGTGAGAGGACGAAAAACGAATGTCCGGAGCTTTCATCGGGTTGGTGGATATGGAGAGTCCACCTAAAGGAGTTGGGAAACCCTGACTCCAAGCCAATGGTGATATGGGCTCCAGTACTTTGAGGGAGCGAATGGCGTATGGACCTATTGTTGGTCACCGACTACCACGGGACTGCATCTCCTCACGATGCTCCACTTCCTTGTGGATCAGACCTTTAGGTCGAAGGCTCCGGATGTGGTCCCCTAAGAAAACCACCTGCTTCGGTTCGGACACCCGGGCAGTATCACGGCCCTCACATAAATCAAATGAGATTTGTGTGGCGCATATGTATCTGGTGCCTCCTCGTACCAGTATTTACGTGTTCAAATAAATAAATAAAGAATTCGTCACGCAGTTAAATACCCATTACACTCTCAACTGTTCAATTACTTTGAGGATGAAGAAATTTATCAGGGATGCTAGATCACCAGAAATCACTTGGTAAACGTTTTGTTTTTTGTAAGTTTATTTTGGAAATTTCAATCTCTCATTTTCGCTCCGAAAGCGCCAACTTTTATCTTTAGAACGTATTTACCATTTGGAAAGACACGTTAAACGTTGTTGGTTCGTTCCCACTTTTAAAATGTTATTTTGTGACGTTTCCCAAGGATATCTTCATACTTTATATATACCCTTGAGCTATGTACCTGTTTGTTAGTGCTTCCGACTGCTTGTAGAACATACATTACTCTCAGTTGAATTTGATCTTTTCCCTCTAGTTCACAGGGCTGGGGTACAGTGAATAGTTTAGCTTGGCTTGTCGTTGTGTTGCTGATTTTCGTTTTGTTCGCCAATTTTACGTGATCTCGTAGTCTCTTCAAATGTAGCAAAATTTTAACTTAATTATTTGCTTGCTTTAAGTTCCTCTTGTGTTCACAGTTAATAAAAATTGATGATAATCAGTATGGGGTTGTGGGATTTCATTGGAATCACGCACTGACCTAAGTTAGACAACCATTGAAAACTTGTTAGCACCACACGACTGTTTCGTCATGAGATGGGTCTCCTCAGCACTCCTCGTTCATGACCTCTCATCCAGAAACTGAATCTCGAGCGTAAATGCTTAGTTTGTCGACCACTTAACCGGGATCCACTGATGTACATGTCTAAATCTAGTCAATCAACCTTATTGGGTTCATGATTCCAATAAAATCGAATTATTTCGACAACAGTAGGCTGATAAATATCACGCGCTAACTAGTGACTAACTTCAAGAGGACATTTCCAGAGTTCCAGTGAGAAAACATAACAGGTAGAGTTCAACTGTGTCGGATGTGAGGAAGTTACCCAATGAATAAAATGGGAGATGATAGAGCAGTATCATGAATTAAATGAAATTAGACTTTTACAGTATAGGATTGTGACTCAGTGGTCTAGAGATTATGCATTCGCCGTGAGACCTATAGATCCACTATTTGATTCTCGGCTTCAAGGTCGTAAACACACACTTCTTTGAAGTCCCATACTAGGACAAGACAGCTATCCAGCGGTACCTCAACTGAAATCAATTTGAGACGAATACAAACTAAATAACGAACTGAATCTGTCGTAACTATCTCATATTTATTAGGAGCTGATAATTAAAGATAATAATACATTTAACACAGTTGTAATGTAGTTTCTATTAAATAGCGGCAACACTTCTAAAACAATTATCGAAAGTAAACATAAACCGATAACGAGATACCTAAAATGAAAGAATATTTCGAAGATTGTAACCTTGATCCTCAACACATACTAAATTACTCTAGTCGAAATCAATCAATGTTCAATTGAACATTTGACGAGATCTTAGACTGGCAATGCACAATTTTATGAAAATTCGTAGAACATGGTCAAACGACTACCTTAATTGTTTCAAACTGATTTCCAAAGCATGGTAATAACACTCTAGAAATTAACCCACTACCTAAGATCATTAACTGGGCCTTCTTTAAAAAAAATGAAATGGAGATTCGTAACTCAAGAGTAGGATTTTGAGGGTATTGCATTTTCAGAACAGAAGCTGAGAGAACATGCAACACCATAATAAAACAAAACAGAAAACCTTGTACACCAAATACTTCAAAAAAAAAACCCAACTAAGCATTAAAAGAACACAAGAACATACTTTAATCCAGACAAAACGTTAATTGAATTTGTAAATGTAGATGGTAATGTAAAAGACGATGATTTCAAAGGTGACATACGTGGTGGTGGTGCAGGTTTACGATTTGTTTTTGTCCCTGCCCCTGTTTTTATTAGTAAACATTGACGATTAGATTTTTGATCAAATGATGGATGAAGAAGTGGAGAATTTGATAGTGTACTACTACTTCCTGGTGCACAATGACTTTTACGATAAATTCTTGTATTCTGTGTAATTTGATTATTGCGTTTTAAATAAATTTCTGAATCAACAATCGAATCAGTTGTGATAGCAGTAGTATTGTTAGTAGTAGTAGTAGTAGTAGTAGTAACTGTACATAAAAAATAAACAAAAAGTTTTAACATTCATCCTTCAGAGTATGTGCATGACACAATGAAACGTTTTATCAAATAAATAATCTGAACTATTTAAATTAAAACTGAATCCGAGTAATTAGTGTAAACTTGTACACTAATAAAGCCTATATTTTAAGTAATTAGTGCGAATGACAGAAATTTCTCTGTCACTTCTAAACAGGTCTCTTTATCTTATTGGATTATGCAAAATAACACAATTCGAAGGTATACTTTATAAGTTTCAATAACTTATATTGACTATTTCTATGTAGTATATATCACGGATTGTAATCCAGTGAAAACCAAGAAGCACTAGACAGTTATTTCGTCCCAGTTTTAGGAATTTTCAGCAGTGAGCATCCATGCTATAATCAAGGATTAAACCTAGAATCTTCAGGTCTCGTGACTCATGCATAAACTTTAGACATTCATGTATATGTTTTCCAAACCAATTGCTTACGTTTCTAACTTCAAGTGATTTGTGGCATTATGTAAATTAGCCCAGAGTATTCGTCATTTGATAATCGCTTATTCATTCTTACCAACCAAGGTCATTTGACAGAATTTAACAAACAATATCTTTCTATATACATGCTACGTTTTATTTCCCAACTCATTTATCAGATATATATTCATGTACTTCGCTTCGAGTCAAGTGTGAGAGCTGGTGATATGACCTAGTCGCTCAAACTGAAATAGCTAGGGTGGGGTTTGACCCTTAGACTTAGCAGCCGAAAGCTGAACACCCTAACCCCTGAATCGCTTCTTCATTGTGAATTAAACATCCAGTCACAGTTGGATACATTGCGAAAATGTTTCGTGTGAAAGTAAAGAAAAACAATGACAATAACAAAGGCTACTAACCTTTAGACCCATCTTCAGAATCCCAGACATTATAGTAGACACTGTTAGAAGAATTTCGCTTCTTTAGAGAGTTTCTGGAAGGAGAACTAGTAAAATCGTTTACGTGATGACATTTGTTCTTCTGATTATTAATGTTTTCTGGTCAACATTCACATATATTACCGATAGGTATTAGGAAAAAAACAATAGGACAGACATCAATCACGTTAATAACATTTCAGTAAAATGACAAAGGTAGTAATCATACTGAAAAGTAAAAAGTAGACATTTATAACTTTTATAAGGTTGTATCTACCTACAAACCATCGTTGAGAATCAAAATGACGTTGGTTAATCTGAAGTTGATGTGGTTTGCTGTTCTGTAGTTCAAGTTGCTTACTAAGTTGTCCTTAACACTTCACTACGAGGCTCTGCATAGGAAACAGATTAAGGGTCCTTAAGAAGCTTTGTTGTCAAAAACTAAATAATAATCCTTGCAGCCCATCAATACTGACAGATTTTTGTAAGGATAGAACCATATTAGAAATGACCTTGATTACATGTATAACTCGTTTAGTCATAATGACCCACCCAAACTTGTCACTAATTTATAATGTGGCTATACAATCTGTTCAGTTTTACACAAAACACCGAATCGTAAGCAATATTGCTTTTCCTACTCGATCACTTGTTGTGATACTATCAAATGATATTTGTACAATTCAGTATAGTATTATGAAGTGAGTGAATAATTATTTGCTATCTACTAAGCAAATTCTTTTATTTCCTCTTAATGACAGAAAAAAATATACATATACACGGTATAAGGAGGTTTCAGAACTCAGTTTATAAGGGTAGACAAAGAATGAATGTACATGCACTAACGGTAAAGATTCTAAGCCATGTCACCCAGTCTCTAGTCGTGTAATTGTGATAATCCCACGGACCCCAACATGATAATTTAAACTTAAATACATGGCAAAGTTCAATAGTCAATGACTTCATGGACTTATTTTGTGTCCTGGTTTGATTGCCTATGGATTTCAATTAACTACAACAACAAACCATATCGTCCATCGAGGTAGGCGGTGGTTGAGCATACACAACATACGTACCGACTACTACAGTTGATTAACATTTACTACCTCACCAACAGGTATCCCATCTTTACATGGTACCCAATGCCTAATTCCAGCACTATTTACTCAGTGGTCCCAAGATATATAGGTAATACTTTGGAGACACATATGATCGAAGACTAGTAACCTAAAATATCCTCTATTCTTGATGACCAAATTACACACCTATGAAGCATAACGAAACGAACCCCTGTGCACTAAACTCGTCCTTTGGTTGGCAGACAGAAACCGTATCTACGGCACAAATAATGTAAGTAAGCAAATGCTGGATCCATCCCGAGATTTCACGAGATATTAGCCCATCAGAGTCGATTATAATCCCAAATGCAGTGGTCGACGCAGTCAACTACTTCACCCTCTATCACTAATTCATGCGATAATGGTGACCAGCTACAAAGCAGCATTTTTCAGTCACTACGAAATAATTGGATCATTAACATATTTGCAGTGCTGCTTCAAGTGGTCAGACGACTCATAAATTTGTCATCACCTTCAAACAAGACTGCGTATTCTAAGTCAACAAGTGAATCTCTCGGTAGGATATGAGTAAACAGTCCGTCAGTCAGGCGCGTGTGTACATCCGTTCAGATAAATGATCAAATTAACAATAAAGGAGGCGGAATGTCAAAAAAAAACGTTTTGTTATAGGAATTACAATAATTAGTAATTACATAAATGTATGTCTAAAGTGATGATTCAATGGTCGAAGAAATTCAAGAATATGAATTACGAGAACACTACATAAGGAAAAGAAACTATTCATCAAAAAAGCATAAAACGATTGGATAAATAAAAACATGATAACTGCAATGGACCGATCACTGAGTGATCAATATCATGTCCGTCTAGTCCTTTAGTACTGATCTAATCCCATCAACCAAGTTATAATGTGTTCACTAATCTGAGTGACTTGACATCGACTGCGTTATGTGTTAAGATTTTCGATAGTTTGAAGTAGTCATCATGAAACTGGATGAAGCAGGTTCGAATTATACACATACTTTACACAAATTGATAAGTTCAACAATTGTTGCCCATAATATGGCTAACAGAATTATAATTACACAAAGCTAATCACAGTCTATGGAAAACAGAAAATTTTAGTAGGATGTACTTTTAACTTGGACTAACTTGACAAATAAGAAGTGAATAAAACAGACTAATAATATTACTAAAAAGAAAAAAAATAACCGTTGAAAATCAAAGTATTTTTTGACTGATTATCTCATTTATATCAGTAGCAGGACCCGACAATATACCAGCTGAAGCACTGAAGTCAAACATCGAAGTAACTACAAACATGCTCCTTTACGAGGAGTAACAGGCGTAAGTAAGTCATCTCATTTATATTACAGTCCAAAGTTTATCAATATCATCAACATCATTTGTAAAACCCAACATTCTTTAAAATAAAATCAACAAAAAAGAAATTCTTTACAATGATATCCGCTTTATACTATTGTTATTTACTAATGGATAAGATATAAAATTTGTTACTTTGACAATTAAGTGTTCCATTTTCTAGCATCGAAAATAATATTGACCTTGACACGAACTATCGATAGATTGCATTTATAGTAAAGGAGAGGGAGAAACTGATCTATGGTGTTACTTAATTACTTTGATTATGTAATAGTACATATTTTGTTACTTATAATTTGCAGTCTAATGTTGTTACAAGTTACATGACCAACCATTTCGGTCAATTTATGTAGATTCGCAAAAAATGAGTATAGTCTCTGTTTTACTATTAAATTTGTAACTATAAAAACTGAACATAACGTAAACAAAATGCTAAACAGTACAGTTGTAAAGTATTTCAGACTATGAGATTCAGTGACAAAGATTTCAGTGTGTATTGGAATTCCACGTCGTGCAGTCCCAGAGAATTTCACGTTGTGCATTATTTGCCGACTCTGGGACTGGTTGGAAAAGGCGGAGAGGTGGTCAGTGCATGACATGGTGTCGTCGTATGAAAGAAAGCTACAAAGGGTTGGCTTCTGTTGGTCCTTCACGACTCCCTGGCTAGGGAAATAGAGATGGTGCAACACAGTGGCTAGAGACGTTATCAGATATGGCTCAGAATAGAAGACAGTAGCGATCTTGCTGTAACCTTCTTTTACTTTCTTCGTAAAAAAAAAATTGGTAGTTTCTTCCTCAACTGAAAGATTTCTTCTGATTGTACCTTTCCGTTTCCCCGATTATTATTATTATTATTACTATTATTATTATTACACTACCTTACACCAATCTGTTCCTTATTGTTCTTTTTTTCTCTTCGAATTCTCATTGTTTTGTGTGGCGCATATATATTTGGTGCCCTCTTGTACCAAGATCTATGAATTATTGGAAACAAATTAACCAGGTGATTTTGGTCGATCACCTCTAATTCTATAAATTATGAAACAAATACACATTGTAAAGATACATCACTCGATGTAGTGATTCGGCCGATAAAATTCAATCAACAAAATAGGGAATAAACAAGATGCCAATGGTTATTACTTACATGAAATATAAGTGTTAATAATAAATTTCAAGAGATGTTGTGCCGATATATTGTTGTATTTAAAAAAAAAGAAGCTGGTTGCTCCTAATTTGAATAACCCTCATCCATATCAGAATATATGTCACATCTCTGTTTTCATTATTTAAAACAAAACCCACTTAAGTTAAAAGAAATCAAGCTGTCCAGCTGCCTACGACTTTGCCGTTTGTTAAATTTAAGTGTTTTGTCAGAATTATGAGAAAAGCTAATTATTTATTAAAGCCAATTTATCAACAATCATTTAGCGAATGAAAACACATAAGACAGTACACATGCCCAATATATCTATCTATCAACACAAGAGGTGAAAATTTTTTCCTGGTTTCTGACCACACTTAGAGGCTAACACAGTCTTTATAAAAGAACCATTTGATCCATTTAAAAAGAATGTTGAAAAAAGTATTTTTTTTTTACACTCTGTTCGTTCTTTTAAAAAGAAATGCTTCTTTTTTTTAGTGGATCATCTTCATAAACACCCGCTTTGACATTCCTTGGATTCGCTAGGGTTTTTTTTTTTTTTATTTGTCAAAGCATCACCTAAATAGAACATGATAATAGTACCGTTTGTACATTAATTAAGCAGACAACATAGACAAATGATTAATTATAAAGTGTATTTTCATACCATTTGATAATTTGCATGTAATATCACTGGTGGTTTGTTTCATTTGATCTATTCTAGGCAATGAAGAATAATTTATATTGAATTCTTTCTCTGTTACCACAGCATTAGTTAGATTTACATAAGAGTGACGTGAATCCGGAAGCTAAATAAATGTTTATAGAGTAGGAAAGAAACATCATAAAGATGAGAAAATTTCTAATTTTAGAAATAAATAAAAATGGATGCATAAATGTATAAGGGATTGAATAGGACGAAGAATGCGGTATTATAATCTTTGAGACAATTATAAAAGGGATTATTATTTGTATTCTTTTTTGTATATTTAGTACACCCTTAGATTGATGTACATCTAAATTCTTCTATTTCTAAACTTATGTTTGACCTATAAATCGGTTAGATTGTTCCACTTTTATCATCCATTAACCACTTTTTTTTATCTCTTCGGTTTTCGATTACCTACGGTTAAGTTATTTGTTGTTGTGCTGTGAAATATTTTGAGTATATTATTGTATGAGTTTTGAGTTATGATTGAAGTGAGTATAACAGAGAAGTGATCTGCTTTCAATCTTTATCTCCTGATAAGCTACTGGGTTAGAAAAAGCTCATGACCAATGAGCGTTATGGTCTCTGTTATCGCTCAATCAATAATTAGGTCACATGGCAATAAAGATGGACTGACCGATAATCGGACTGGAGAGAGAGCTACTACTCATTATGGTCTGATTACACAGGAACCAAAGCAATCTAAGCAATCTGTGTTTTCTCAATATATCAGTAATTATAGAACATTTCATGTACCAGATTGGATCAAACAAGAATGTGATTTATGACTTTCATATAATATAGGGCGGATTCGAATCCGATAACATCATCTTTAATTGTCTACTGAGTTTTATTATTCAATCCGTATAATAACTATCTTAAAAACCATATGGAAAAAATTAAAGATAAATCACACATATACCCTTGAAAATACCCCTCATTTTTGACAATGCACAAGTTTCGTCGATGGTTTCATTCTTCCAAATAATCCAATTATTATTAGGAAAGTAGACACTTTGATTGTCTCATTATTTCACGCTTATCCTCTCCACATGGTCTTATTAGGTAGATAGTGTGAAAGGATAATATATAATCTAATGGTTAATAAACAGATAATTGATTCTCGACACTGAACTACTGAGAAAATCTTGACAACAAATTTCCAACAACAAACAATGAAAACGACCATTTCCACTTTCACTAATGGATAAAAACAAAAGACACCGACGTCTATTCCATTCATATTTCATACAACAACCCATACCTCAGTGAATATTTTACCAAGGATCGAGTACATCAACACTCATTCAATTCGGAGAAAAAAAGTCAAACAGGAAAAGCATACTACTGACAAAATACAGTTATCATATAACATTTTACATCAATAAAGAATTATAAACAGAACACGTCTGGAAAATGTCAGTCAGTCAATGATAAACAATGCAGAACCTTGTAAATTAAAAATATAACATTCTAAGCCATTATTCAGTGAAGTAGAAATGTCTTCCCTGTTCAGACTTTGATTTGTACTACTGTTTGATTACAGTATCACTATATAAGTGGCAATAAAATCTAACCAACTGAAACAAATACTGATGTTCCCTTAAAAGTCTTTAACACAATTGTAGATCATCATTATGGAAGACTAAAATTCTCTATAATCAATATTATGCAAACTAAAGAACACAACGACAAACGAAGACAACCTTAACATTATCAACAAGATAAATTCCATCAACTGAGAGAAACACTACACAGAACAAAGTGGTTTCCCTTCCCGTCTACCTTTCTACATGAACACTGACTGTTAGATGATACGACAAAGCATATAAACAGCTATGGATATGAGTTCAACTGAGAAAGCTTCGGAATATTGGACTGATGGAACATCAAGTAAACCAAAGAATTTTTTGGAAGCATGGCAATACGATCAATGAACATAATGAAGTCGGCCAAATTTATTTCCCAAGAAGCAAAATGATAAACTTGAAAACAACTACCGCACAATTATAGATAACAATTAGTCGAATACCAAGTTAATAGAATATGATGTTAATAAGTTTTAATAGATCATTATTGTTTGAATTATGTATTGATGATTTTGTCTACAGAGATGATGAAAGGCTCATGGTTAAGAACGATTCAGCTCAAAACAAAACAAAACAAAACACCTCAAAACTTCTCATTCAAAGTTACAACTATTCTCTGTCATATATGACATCTTATCAGTACTTCATTAGAACGATTCACTCATAAAATTTAGAATTAAAACAAACTGATTACATGTGATGATATACAATAGACAATAAATGAATGAAAGTTAAACACAATGTGACTTTAGTAATTCCCGTAATCACATAAACACACATGTCTACACCCTTTACTCGGTGATTAAAAATCATTCTAATATGATCTCATTAAAACACACACACTACACACATACAACATTTAGGTTAATTAGATCTGTGTTTTGTTTTTGTGTTGTTGTTTTTTTTTGAAGAATAAATATATAAACAAACAAAAATTTTGTTTAAATCAACTGAATTCAGCCTATAATTTATCTGGATAGATAAACTTTCAAAATAAAAAATAAAAAAAAGTGAGAGAACAAAACTTATGTGAAAATGAAGTCATGACAACTTGTTTTTTTTGTTGTTGTAAATATTCATAATTCAGTTTATTTTGAGCACCATATGTGAGTATATCAATCTATGTATACATATTGAACAATGTGTTGAAACATTGAACATGATGTTCATAGAAGGGTATACACGATGTTATTACATCACAGCAACAAAATAACATGTTACCTTATTCATAAATATAATAATAATAATAATGAATGAATGAATGAATGAATGAATGAATGAATGAATGAATGAATGAATGAATGAATGAATGAATGAATGAATGAATGAATGAATGAATGAATGAATGAATGCAATCGTACGATAGAATTATTAATCCTATTAATTGTATAGTTTGAATTGTGTTATTTAATTATTTTCAGATTGGTTTTTTGTGGAGATTGTAGTAATTTCAATGGTTAAGATCATGAGTCAGTTGGAGCTAAACCATCATGGAAAACCTGGAAGCACTGGACGGCCGTTTCGTCCTATTGTGGGACTCCTCAGCAGTACGCATTTAATTATTTGTTTATTTTTCAATGATACATCAAATACCTTGATGGTTAAAAGTGTGATGTATCATTACAATCTTTGCTGAATATGATATCATATATTATAAAATACAATAAATTGTATGAAACAATAATGATCTAGTTATGATCACATAGCGCGCGCGAGAGAGAGAGAGAGAGGGAGAGAGAAAGATCAAAAATGCAGTGTCAAACATACAACACAAACACATACAGGAAAAGAAAAATCCTTTTTGATGTTTCTAGTTGCTTTTCTTCTTTTCATGTGAAGGATGTATTGACAAAGAGAATACAGTATTGTTCAAGACAATATTCATAATGAAACAATTATATACGGAATAAAACCAAGAATTTCTAATTGATCTTGGTTTCGTGTTAATTGGTATTCACTAACAAAAGGAACTGTAATTTGATTTTAACTCCCTTCAACTAATGAGTTATAGTCTAATTTAACCATTGATCTATTCGAGACGAGATTAAACTCTTACAGGACAAAGATTTTTACATAGATTGATCAGTGAGTAAGGACCAGTGTTATCATTGTATTCCGTACAAACAGTCCACTAATATGTGGTAATCACCATTTAAGTGGACAATGTAATGATTAAAAGTGATAGATGCACCACATTTATTAAATATTCAAAACGTTGAGGAGAACAATCTTGGCCTAATCGCATAAAACTCATTCGTTTTGTTTATGCAAACTATGGACCAACTACAGATAGTTTTATTAGTATACTGATGAGTTAGGAATGTGTAATAATAAAACATTCCATTATTATACAAATATGATAAGAAACGTTACATATATAAAGGTTGAAATATCATTGTCTTTAAATAAAAAAAAGAAAACTACACTGAAAGAAGCAAATCTAACTTACATGATGATAATCGTCTAATAATAATTCAGAACCAGACAATAAGTAATCAACCTTAAGACAAGAAAGAAAAAATATGGTCTTGAGATGGTGAAGAAGATTTGTAGCTTAGGTGGAGTTTTGTTCTCTGAGCTCACAGAACAAAACTCCATCAAATAACATGGTAATTAACAATAAGTTTAACCATTAACAATAAAATTCTCTAAGGAATTATGGAATAGTGGTTATGTGATGTGAGCTAAAAGTTTAAGGATTAAAACAATCGATTTATAAAATCCCATCTGAATAGTCAAGATAAATTATTACAGCTTACAATGAAATTGAAACTACTTATAGATGAACACATAAACTTGGTGATAGGATGAACTATTTAAAAAAAAACACAACCATAATCTGTTTCATAGTCACATGGACATGAGAAACGAAAACATTGGAAGGTTATTATAAATAAACGAATTGTTTATCTGTCTAACGTCACTGCCTACATATTTTTGTCAGGATCACTTAAGTATTATGCATAATTATGCATGATTTATGTAACTTTAGATCCAGCTTTTCGTATTAAGCTTCATATGCATTATTAGTCCTTTTGTTCTAGAACATCAGGTTGATAAGTCTTATCGATTGAACACTATATTATTTCCTAAGCTATTCCGTTGACCTGCACGCTAGAACTACACAGCGACTTGAACACTAGAGAGAAGACGTAAGTATGAGAGAAAATACTTTATCCCAAGGTTCATTTTTGTACAGAAAATCATAGGTATTTATAGATATTGGCGTCTGTGAATCAACATCATATTTCAGCCAATCCGTTAACTACATATTATGCTACCGACCAATAGTAGCACGCCACGTTGGAATTCTAGAACCTTCCATCATACTCTGATTGGCTAGGACCCTTCGACTCCTTTTGGGCCTCTGGAGGCTCCACTGAAGTTCTCCGGAAGCTGACTCAACACAGGTTAGGGTCAACCGTTGGAAGATATATGGATTTGTAACTGATTAGAACTTGAAGATTACTAAATCATTATTATTGTCATATATGATATGTGCTGAGGATTGAAAACAAACACAAAATTTGGTTCAATGTTTCACCATTAGATCATCACTTTCAATGATCCTGTGGATAAAACAGATCACATCAAAATAAAGCTTGATGATCAAATCGAAAAATTAAAGACGATATTGACGGCCAAACATGAGATACTGATAACTAATCAGCATTAGATTGTATGAAAACCATAGTATCATTAAAATCAAACACATATCATAATAACGCAACTGGAAAACGTTTTCGTGACTATTCGATAAAATGTGTTATAACGGTTGGTTTTCCACGTTTACACATATGTGACGTTAATTTACCGCAGACGAATATCTACACTAGATTCCCTCCCAGTGTCTATTCTACAGGACTTCAACACAACTCAGATCAAGAACACGTGATTAGCCTTACTAGAACGTAAATATATTTCCACACCAAAAACCCGACACAATCCAACAACAATAAACAATCAATAATAAGTGAGTAATAATAATAAGGATAGGGGGATATATAACTCATCTGTAACCTGTCAGACTATCTACGTGTCTGACTAAGCAGACAACCAATCATCGGGTAAGTAATAGTGAGGTTAGACTTAGGGTATTAGAGAATGATGGTAGATCACTTGATGAGGTTGTGAATCTTCATCGACTAAGATGGTTGAGCCACGAGTTGCGTATACCTGAACACCGATTACCACGACGTGCAAGGCTGACTAGTGTTAGAGATGGATGGAAGAAAGTTGAGGCGGCCAAACCAAAACGTGGCATCAGTGTTTGAAGTCACTAACTTCTGGTCTGAGCCATGTTGGTAGATGCAGACTTCTTGGTTGGGGCCGCGTGACTATCTTAACCAATGATTGGAGACCGTGGGTGACATGGCTTAGAATCGATCACAACGGCGTAGGTGTATACACTCTTTGACTTCCCTTAAACACTACTGAGTTAATTGCTTCTATGAATCCGGTGTTTGTCTTGCTGTGCTAATGAGATGTGGCAACTTGGACTGATGCTCATATGTGCCTGGTCCTACATTGTAACTGACTGACAACCAATCATTATCATTCTCGCCCACACATCAATCTGACATCGTAGCTGAGAATATTCTTTCGTGGAATGTTCGCTTTCAGTAATTTAATAACTTAAAGTGTCTGAATTGATGGTTACTAAATTTAAATTCTCGATTAGAATAACTTAAGCTTCTCTGTAATGCAGATATATTTAGTTAATCAGATAGGTAAATTATTCTATGGTGTTTTGATTCAAGTTATCATAGGTATCGCAGCAGCAAAAGAAATGGACAAGAAAAAAATATGATTTTAATACAGTTTAACATATTAAAATCGGGGTCCAACTTCTTCAAAAATAGAAAAACATGAGATGTGAGGCTCTTTAAATTAAAAGTGTTGATAGATACTTGACATAAACTGTTCCATATCAAATTAATTATGATGGTACAAGTGGCTGATGAATTATATTCAATAGATTAAGTTTGACAAACTGATAGTTTCCTCAGGAAAGATGTTTCACCGATAATCATAAACCAGCTAGGTGGTCAGAAGTGATCAGCTGGAAACCTCAAATCTAAGTTTCGGACAAGTTAGCACCAGTTAGTAAGGCGTTCCTGCAATCTTAAGGAAACCGACGCTCACTGTGGGATTTAAATCCAGCTTAATGGACTGGCCCCCAAATGCCCTGGTACGGCTGAGAGTGGGGAGAATTCGCTCTTCCTCTCGAAATGCTCTCACATGGTCACGCGTATATAGCCTCTGCCAGGGAAGTCCTACTCACTGCTTTCTCGTGACGGGGGTGTTGTTTACGAAAATGAGAGGACGAAAAGCGAATGTCTGGCGCTTTAACCGAATTCCAAACCAATGGTGCACATGGGCTACAGTATCCTGAGGGAACAAATGACGTATGAACCAATTGTTGGTCACCAGCTTCCATGAGACTGCATCTTCTTATGATGCTCCACTGCCTTGTGGATCAGACCTTTAGGTCGAAGGCTCGGGGAGTGGCCCTCTAAGAAAACCACCTGCTTCGGTTTGGGCACCCGAGCAGTATCACAGCCCTCACACATATCGAATGAGATTTATGTGGCGCATATGTATTTGGTGCCTCTTTGTACCAATATCTATGTGTTAAAATAAATAAAAATAATGAACTGGATGACGCTAGTGATCAATCAAAGGTGGCCGTAGACCTTTTATACTAATAAAACTTTTACAGTCATAATGCTCAATTTAAGAGACTATAAATATCAAGTATAATTAAACTGGTACTGATCGGTTATTAAGGTATAAATCAAATCATGTGTTAAAATGAGAACTCCTAAAAATAATATTGGTCGTTTGATTGACAAGCAGATCAGTAAATAGCAAACTCAAAAAAGGATAAATTAAGTAAGACGATGTTAAGAAAAATAGATAACCAAACTACAATAAAGATATCAGTGGTTATTTAGAAGTCTGCAAACTAATAGTATACGATAATGATTCATACCTAAATTATTGAAGATACTATAGATTATAAATTTACATTATAGTACTATTACTAATAGTTCTAACGACTTATCATCTAAAAATCACTATATTAGGTGCTTGCTTTCCAGCTAAAGAGTTTGAACTTCCTATGAAAGTTTTTAAAAGTCGACTAATCGCCTAGTGTCTCGAAAGAAGTTTACTTCCACGTATCCAGTGACAGATTCGCCCAATTAAACTTTTCACCTTTAAAGCTGCCAATCAAACACAGAAACTCAGACTAATTCATTATAAATATATTTGGGAATCGAACAGCAACTAGATTCAAATGGAATAGTCTAAAGTTAACAAGGTCACCATGAAAGCAGCTGAGGGTCTGGGATTCCATTTCTCATATGTAGGGAAACTTGTGGATATGCGTAGCTGAGGAAACCTAAACGAATGCGAAACACCTAATTGTTGTGATACCTTGGTTTTTAATGTTTACTCTACTTGATAACAACTGTACTGATGATAACTTGTTATTTAGTGGATCACATAAACAATCACTAAAAAACACAATTCGATCATGAATTTTTTCAATGGACAAAACATTAATTCATGTGATTTATCACATCTATAAAAGATTGTTATCAGCCGAAATTATATGTCTAGACAATCAGTCATTATCGTAGAGATCTGTAAGTTCAAATCACCGATTAGAGAATGGTAAATATATGATAGAGTGATGCAATTTTTTTGTAACATTTGAAAAAAAACAACTAACTAATCATTGAGTTCCATGTCCGTCTAGTCATCCAGTGCCTGTGAAATTCTACCGGTTGTAACGCAACCACTTGTCTGAGTGAATCAACACCGCATTCACCATGTTAAGATGTTAAGTGGTTAGATGTAATCACCAGGAATCCTTAGATCTAGGTTTCTTGCTGATCGACAATCTATGCGCAGAGCATTACTGGATTTTCGAAGGACCTGGTACTTAATATGATTCAGACAAGTGTCGCTGATTTTCACAATCTCAAACGCTATTCTAAAAATATACGGCCCATGAATGATCCTCTCCGTAGGGGGCTCCATAGCACCACAGCTGAGCTCCAGAATCACGTCTCAGACTGTGAACCTAGGTGAGGTGCGTCAAAATAACACAAGGAGCATCAAGTCAATGAAGAACGCAGTAATCCGTTGCTATTGATAGTTGAGTAGCATGGGAACGACGTTTATGGATTCCTAACGACTACCTCAAACCACACATCTACGAATACTTGTTCTCATAATAAATGATAAAATTAACTTTCGCTTACTCCACCGATAACCTCTTTGTAATCATCTTCACCATTATCATTATCTCTCTTCACATGATTATTGCTCAATGATTGATGCTGATTATTAGGGGACTTAGTCCCTATATCTCCACCATTCGAATTCCTGGAATGTACGCCATTATCATTATAATTAACATTAGCATTATTATCTGGAGGAATTTTGGAGGGTCTCTGAAATAAAGGCAGTTCATTACAAACACCACCAGCACTTCGGTTGCTGTTAATATTTTCAACAACAGTTCTTTGATTGGAAGTGACATCTTTAAAAAAAATAAATAAATATTCATTAAATCGAGAAAAGAAATGTGGATAGAAAAATAAGAAATATTCTCGTTTTAGTCATTTCGATGGAGTATTTCTAATAAGATACATTTGTTAATGTCACTTATCTGTTAACACCAACGTATGAACTTATTTTCGTGATTGGTAAATAGTAAAACTTCTACACTTCTATTCAAACCAAAGTACGTAGTCGAGTCTGTTGTATACTAAGTCACTGATAGTAAAAATCTCCTTCTATCTACCATGTTTTTTTTAGTAGATTCGTAGGGAATGCCAGTCTGAAAATGTAGAAGGTTATGGATAAAATGCCTATCGATCCAATTCACCATACTTCATATAGGCATATAGAGAGAGATAAAATGTAAAAAATGAATAGATCATGAGTCTTGAAAAAAAAGAATAACATCCATTGTTGTAGGAAAACAAATACGATAAAAATTAGTCAGTTATAATATGAATAAGTATAGATTCAACATAGTAAGAAAGTATAAAAAAGTATGAAGATGAGGAGTGAAGAAGAAAATCCCATTTTAATTGTAATAGATACCAAACTATGAGGGAGACAGTTTAGACATATAAGCACCCAACGTCTCGAACTATTATTGATGACGAGTAATTCTCGAGCTGCAACCGAAAGTCTGTAAATTTCGACACAATTTAAATGAACAGTCAATGACTTCACTGACTGATACCATGTACTGTTTGATTAGCACGCTCCGATGTTTTTTTTTCTAACATACTCGTGTTTAGGGCAATATTGTATATAAGCAAATGTAAAACATATTCTGACTACCAAAGTTAATGAAAGCTTGTAGCTATAGGTATAGAAACTTGAATACATACTACATATTTTTAATAAGACTTTTATGCCAGCTGGAAATATTAAAGACGTGTCAACAACAAGTAAGCACTCCATAGTTATTTTCAAATTATTACCTACGCCTGTTTCCCCTCGTGGAGGAGCATAGGCCAACCACCATCCAACTCAGTCATGGACAATCCTTTCCAGTTGCTATTCATCTTTTTCATGTCTGCTCCCACTCCTCGATACAATATGTTCTTTGATCTTCCTCTTTTCTGTCTACCTTCAGGATTCAAAGTTATCGCTTGCCTCGTGATTCAGATTGGTGATTTCTGAAATGTATGTTCCACAGTAGGTTGTTGCTGATGGTTTCCGGTAAACGGATATTGAGTAATCTTGTGTAGAAAATTGTTTATAAATACTTGTACACTTTTGTTGATAGTCTGAGCTTCGTACAATACAACTGTCTTGTCGTTCGTATTAAAGATTCTGACTTTCATGTTGGTTGACAATTGTTTTGAGTCCCATATGTTCTTCAGCTGTACGAATGTTAACCTTGCATTGCCAATCATTGCCCTTACGTTTGCACCAGATCCTCATTGCACATATTTTCAAGAAAAACTCAAAAAAAGCACTGTCTTCACGTGGTGAACGCTAAACTTGGAAATAATGATAACTGGATCGAAAATAACGAATAAGTGACATTTTTAACTTTCATCCATTTGTCAATGTCTTAGGGAAATAAAAAAACCTATTATGACAATGTCGATGATTCTTCAAATTGTCAGTCAGTCATTAACAACGTAGAACTTCGTACTTACGTACATCAGTTCGAGTTGCCATACTACATTAGCACAGAGATGCACTTGTCGATTCGAATCCCGGAGTGGTAGAGGTAGTAAGAGTATAAGCAGTAATCGGAAAGATTAGGGTTTGGAGATGTTATTTAAAGAGTATAATCCAGTGAAATAAATTTGGAAAGAGAAAAAAGAGACAAGGAGGAATCAGGAGATTAGAATTTGGAAGAACACAAAGAGTGTATGCACCTGCGCCATTGCAAACGATTCTAAGCCATGTGATTTAGGGTCTCTAACCATCGGTTGCTATCATCCCGCAGTCCCCAACCAGGTAGTCTACACCTACCAACATGACTCAGTCTTCAAATTGTATACATGACTGCCATTAAAATCACAGACATATATCATATACAAATGTAATACTAACAGAAATTGACATTGAAAAACAAAAAAAACCCATCTTACTTGTAGTAGAAACATCAACTAATTCAGCGACATGAGCTAAATGACGCACCCAATCAGACATAATTTTATTATTTGCTGCTATAAAATAATAAATTCGTTTATTTCCATTAAATAATGTTGAAATTGAAAATGCACATGGTTGACCGATATTCACATTTTCAATAATACATTCACAATGTTCTAAATCAACACGACCTAGTAGTAAAACAAATGAGATAATGATGGATAATTTATAACTTAACAACAAGATACGTAAATTCAACGGAAATTGTTATTGAAGAAAATAAATTAGTCACCAAAAAATATATATCAGACTGATCATTATTGGATCTAGCCCCCCACCTTCTTGAATATATGTTTACCACCAGTTATTATGACTGTTCTAGATAAATGGGAGACATTGAATGGATATACAGTTGAAATAGTAAGATACTAAAATCAAGTATCGACAAGTAAAACTAGTAAGCTTTGTAGTATTTTATATCTCATTAAACCAAATAAATATGAACGGACAATATGTTGTACATGACTAATAAGAACTACTATTTAATTAAAATACAACCCTTCGTATGGATATTTAATTCATATGTTATAATGGGAAATGGTAGCATGATATGAGTTGATTGATTCATTTACTTATTTTAACACATAGATAGTTGTACAAGGAGGCACCAGATACATATGCACCACACAAATCTCATTTCATTCGTGTGACGGCTGTGATACTGCCCGGATGCCCAAACAGAAGCAGGTGGTTTTTTTAGGGGACCACACCCGGAGCCTTCGACCTAAAGGTCTGATCCACAAGGGAGTTCAGCATCGTCAGGAGATGCAGTCTTATGGTAGTCGGTGAACAGCGATTGGTTCATACGCCATTTGTTCCCCCAGGATTCTGAAGCTCCAACTCCTTTAGGTAGACTCTCCTTGTCCACCAACCCGGTTAAAGCTCCGAACTTCCGCTTTTCGTCCTCTCAATTTCGTAAACACCCGTGTTGAGAGAAGGCAGTGAGTACGGCTTCCCTGGCAGAGGCTATATACGCGTGGCCATGTGAGAGTGTAGTGTCGGTTATTATGTTAAGCCCACATACCTTATTCTAGCTTTCGGACGGCCCATTCTATTCATTCTACTTGAGTCACATTCTAACTTACTTACGCCTGTTACTCCTCGTGAAGGAGCATAGGCCGCTCACCAGCATTCTCCATCCAACCCTGTCCTGGGCAATCCTTTCTAGCTCCGTCCAGTTGTAATTCATCCTTTTCATATCTGCTTCTATTATCCGACGCAATGTGTTCTTTGGCCTTCCTCTTTTTCGCTTCCCTTCAGGATTCCAAGTTAGGGCTTGCCTCGTGATGCAGTTTGACGATTTGCGTAATGTATGTCCTATCCATTTCCATCGTCTTTTCCTAATTTCTTCTTCAGCTGGAAGTTGGTTTGTTCTCTCCCACAGAAGGCTATTGCTGATGGTATCCGGCCAATGGATGTTGAGCATCTTGCCAAGACAGCTATTTATAAATACTTGTACTTTCTTGATTGTGGTTGTTGTAGTTCTCCAAGTTTCAGCTCCATACAGTAGAACTGCCTTGACGTTCGTATTGAAGATTCTTACTTTGATATTGGTTGAAAGTTGTTTTGAGTTCCATATGTTCTTCAATTGTAGGAATGCGACCCTTGCTTTGCCGATCCTCGCCTTTACGTCTGCATCGGATCCTCCTTGTTCATCGATGATGCTTCCCAGGTATGTGAAGGACTCTACATCTTCCAGAGTTTCGCCATCAAGTGTGATTGGATTGCTGTTCTCCGCTTTGAATTTGAGGACCTTAGTTTTCCCTTTGTGTATGCTGAGGCCTACTGATGCAGAGACTGCTGCTACACTGGCTGTCTTTATCTGCATCTGTTCCTGTGTATGCGATAGGGGGGCTAGGACATGTGAGAAGTCCAAATCATCTACTCGGTTCTGAGCTGTCCATTGTATTCCGTGTTTTCCTTCAGATGTTGAGGTCTTCATAATCCAGTCGACCACCAGAAGAAAGAGGAAGGGAGAGAGTAAACAGCCTTGTCTGACTCCGGTCCTTACTTGGAATGCATCTGTCAGCTGTCCTCCATGCACTACTTTGCACTGTAGTCCGTCGTATGAGTTCCGGATAATATTGACAATCTTCTCAGGAACTCCGTAGTGTCGAGGAAGTTTCCATAATGTCCTCCTATCTACACTGTCGAATGCCTTTTCATAATCAATGAAGTTGATGTATAGTGATGAGTTCCACTCAACTGATTGTTCGACGATGATCCGTAGTGTTGCAATTTGGTCTGCGCACGACCGATCCTTACGGAATCCAGCTTGTTGATCTCGAAGTTGGGCGTCTACTGCATCCTTCATCCGGTTCAGCAACACTCTGTTGAAGACTTTCCCTGGTATTGACAGTAGTGTAATGCCTCTGTAGTTTTCACATTTGCTCAGATCTCCTTTCTTTGGAATCTTGACGAGGTGTCCTTCTTTCCAGTTCATCGGCACTTGTTCCTCCTCCCAAATCTTTTTGAATAGAAGATAAAGCATGCTTGTGGTTGCTTCGATGTCTGATTTCAGTGCTTCAGCTGGTATGTTGTCGGGTCCTGCTGCTTTCCCGTTCTTGATTTGTCTGACGGCCATTCTAATTTCTTCCGTAGTTGGTGGATTGACCTCTATAGGAAAATCTATGTGTGCTGCTTCGATGTCCGGTGGATTCATTGAAGCCGGCCTATTCAGGAGTTCCTCGAAGTATTCTACCCATCTGTTACGCTGTTGTTGAATTTCGGTGATTGGCTTGCCTTCTTTGTCTTTGACCGGCCTCTCTGGTTTACTGTATTTCCCTGCTAGTTTCTTCGTTGTATCGTAAAGCTGTTTCATATTTCCTTCTCTAGCAGCTTTTTCTGCCGTCGTTGCTAGTTCTTCCACGTATTTCTTCTTGTCGGCTCTAATGCTCCTCTTCACTTGTTTGTTTGCTTCTATGTATTCAGCTTGTGCTTGGACTTTCTCTGCTCGTGTTCGGCTGTTGTTTATTGCTGCCTTCTTGTTCTTCCTTTCTTTGATCTTGTCCAGTGTTTCTGTAGAGATCCATTCCTTATGATGGTATTTCTTTAGACCGAGAACCTCTTGACACGTTGAAGTTAATGCTTCCTTGATGCCTTTCCATTTGTCCTCCATAGTAGTTTCTTCTTCTTTCAGTAGATCTTGTAAGGCTTGGAACCTGTTGTTGAGATCTATCTTGAATTCATTGAGTTTGTCAGTATCTCGAAGGAAGGCTGTATTGAACCTTTGTATTGCTGTTTGTCCACTTGTCCAGTTCTTTTTTAGCTTCAGTTCTAAATTGGCTACAACTAGGTGGTGATCTGAAGCTACGTCAGCACCTCTCCTGGTTCTCACATCTTCCATTGTCCTTCGGAATTTTTTGTTGATGCAAATATGATCTATTTGGTTCTCTGTAGTGTGGTCCGGTGAGATCCATGTAGCCTTGTGTATACGCTTGTGTGGAAATATTGTGCCTCCTATGACCAATTTGTTGAATGCACATAGATTTGCAAATCTTTTTCCATTTTCGTTTCTTTCTCCCAGTCCATGTCGTCCCATAATATCTTCATATCCAGTGTTGTCTATTCCGACTTTGGCATTTAGATCTCCCATCAGAATAGTTAGGTCCTTTCTTGGGCATTTCTCAATGATTGACTGCAGCCGCTCGTAGAACTGATCTTTAATTTCGTCGTTGCTATCATTGGTGGGTGCATAACATTGGATAATATTCATTAAGATCCCCTCCTTCTTTGTTTTGAATGATGCTTTGATGATTCTGGATCCGTGAGATTCCCATCCTACAAGTGCATTTCGTGCTACTTTGGACAGCATAAGAGCGACTCCCTGAGTGTGTGGAGCATTGTCCTCTTCGTGACCGGAGTATAGCAGCATCTCTCCCGTAGCTAGCCTTTTCTGTCCAGCTTGGGTCCAGTGGGTTTCGCTGATTCCCAGTACTGCTAAGTTGTATCTCCTCATTTCCATTGATATTTGACTGGTCTTCCCGGTTTCCCACATTGTTCGAACGTTCCATGTACCTATAAAAATTTTTGCTCTGGTTGTTAGAAGGGGCATCGGACTCGTGGCTTCCGAAGGAACTCGGCTTTCACCATGAAGCGTCATAATTCTTCTAAATGAAGACATTTTAACTCCCAGGGCAGAGTTAAAATGGTTTGGATTATTTTTTCTGGTAGGCGTTTTTTTAGCGAGTTAGTTTTCTACGGGATGGGGACGCTAACCCCATGCCTGACCCTCCTCCTTTACCCGGGCTTGGGACCGGCAGCAACCCTATAAGAGCTACAGGCGGAGTTGAGTCACATTCTAACCTTGTTATTTATTCGCTTATCAATCTTGACTATTTTTATAGGAGTGCGTAGGTGTGTGTACGTTTCTTATCCCATTACTCATCACATGTCTGTAACTTACTTTGTGTAACTATAAGTATTGATTAACGCTTGGTTAAATGGGAGTTGGCTTACCATCCATCTCCACTCTGCGTCGTTTCTCTTCTCTCTATTCCATTCGCTTTATATACAAAATATATGTATTCACAAGTCCATTCTCGTTATTCGACTTATTTAATTCCGTTATTGACTAACCCGATTTAAGTCGATGATTATATGCGAGGATAGGCGATATATATATTTCAACAACAATCATCATTATAATCACCTTGTAGTCAGATCACGGGCCACTAAAGTGGAGAGCCGTTTCAACAACACCGTTCGATCTAAATGACGATTAAATAACGGGCCTCCACAAGAGCATTTTAAGGGGGCGAGCGAACTCTCCCCACTCTCGGCCGTACCAGGGTATTTGAGGTCAAGAGCAAAATGAATCCTCCATTAGGATTATTCAGGACATACAGCAAAATGAATTAAAATCTGGAGTAGGAAAACAGCTTTACTTTATTGACCAACAGCATAAAATATCATACATGCAATTTAATCACGTTATAACATCACGTAAATGAGACAAATTTATGGACAAATACGATCCATCAAAATCAGTCAAAAAGTTCTGATTTCAAAACAATGATAAATTCCTCCTCTATAATGTCACACATTAACTCGGTGCCCAAATACTGTGAAACTATTAAATCAAATTTAGACGAAAGTTCTTATAAATGATGCATACTGATGATATGCGTAA